CAAGTAGAAGTAATTAGATTGTGGATCTTAGAACGTAATATTTCACCTCCTGCTTGAATAAGTTCTGCCGGAATTTGATCACTACCTGGCGATTTATACCATTTCAATTTTGCATTAGCAGTTTCAACCTCAAAAGGGCTAGGATCAGGTACTAATGGCTCAGCTGTATGGATTTCTGTCTGCCTAACATCACTGACCCTATGTACATTCAATAACTGAGAGAAGTAGTTCCTCCACCTATTCAAAATGTTGTGGGAATCTGCAAGCAGATCACCATTCTCATCCTTCACTAAGTTACTGCTAGGCTGGTAACCCCTCTTAAATTCATTTATTCCTCTATACAGGTCTCTAATGTTCTTGTTCTTACTGTTCATTGCAAGCTCATCAATTTTATTTTTCTAAAATACATTTTAATACTATCATTCCATCTATGGCTTGGCCTTCTAAGTGGTCCCTTTCCCTCTTTTGAGACCCATGCAAAAAACCGGTAATATTTTCATTTTGTATATTTTCATTTTTACGTTTCTTGATGCGAGAAAAGCAGGTGGAAGCTTCTGAACTGTGTAGTAGCGCACATTACAGTTTTTTTATTGCTAGTAGGGTGGGACTAAGTCCCTTGTACTGCTGCCAATTCTGGCCTATTGTACCAGCCCCAGATGATAGGTGAGGGTGATTGTGGAGCAGTTGGTGGAATGAAGATTGGCAGGGGAAATCAAAGTACTCGGAGAAAACCTGCCCCAACGCCACTTTGTCCACCACAAATCACACTTGACCAGACCCAGGATCAAACCTGGGCCGCCGCGGTGGGAAGCCAGCGACTAACCGCTTGAGCTTGAAGTGTGTTTGCCTGATGAAGGCCACTCATGGTCGAAACATGTAGCAGAACTATACCGAGCATTGTCCTTGAAGTTCTATATTTTCTGTGTTGTGACAGTCAGATAAAGAGGTTGTATATGTTTTATTTTGTTCCTACTCTCCTCAGATATTTCAACATTACCATATTTTTGAGGAATTACATTTCTTTATATTATGGATTTATCCTGCAACTTATTGACAGATTATGAACATAACTTTGTCTTCGCAGCATTTAGTCCTATTCAGACTGGAGGAAGTATTGTTGATTAGCCTATCCTCGTCTCATTTTGGAAGTTCACAGAATAAACATATTAACTTTTGTGATTCTCTTGCTCTGAACACTGCTCAACATTATGCCCAAAGTAACTGCTAATGTAATAAATAACTGAAAATTAATTTGTTACTCAAGTTTTGTGTGTTTAATTTCAGTTCGGGAATCACAAGAAGGAAAGGTTCGCATATTTGAAGGTGTTACTGTTCCTTCTCCTAGGGAACCTTATGTAGTTGAAACTGAAGACTCCCGTGGATGTTGCACCATTTGCAGTTTAGGATTAGATGTCAAACACACGGTAAATTGTGTTGAATGATGGAATATCATATTTTTAATTAATTAAAATATATTGCATGTTCTAACATTATTGGAACATTATTTAAATCTCTCATGTCTTTCAACTCTGAACACATTGTAATAGACATATTTCATTTGCTGCCAGTGTTTCAAATTTAAAATCTGCTGCCATGATATGTTTGTTGTGCAAGGAATGAAGAGACGAAATGTATTTATTAACATCTTTATTGCAATTTGCAGTTTTAGGGCGTTAATAAGGCAGCATCAAAACTTAGCATTCTTATACAAAACAACTATTGAATTTTTGGTGTGTGGAGATTTTAATCTTTACTGTTTACTAAACGGGGCACGTGGTAGCATAGTTGGTTGAGGCACTATCCTACAAGCCAGAAGGTTGCGGGTTCAAGTCATGATGAGGTCATTGGATTTTTTTCAGTTGACCTATTCCTTCCAGCTGCACTGTAGCCCTGGGGTCGACTCAGCCTCTAACAGAAATGAGTACAAGGAATATTCTTGGAATATTGTAGGGGGTAAAGGGTGCCTGGTGCATAAGGCTGACAGCCTTGCCACCATCTATGAGCCGATTGTCTAGAAAATGTGGGAACCTCAACATCTTACAACCCTATGGACCTGCACAGCCTGTTACAGGGATACCTTTACTTTACTTACTATTTACTAAACAATAATTGGAAACAGCAGTTGTCGGTTTAATTAAGCACTTACAACATGATACATACTGTTAATTTTCTGACTGTCTTACAGGATAACCATGCCTAATCTATTGATAATGTCTTTGTAGACAAATCAAGATTATCTTATTGTATAATATTTCCTTTATCCAGTGTGCTGTCTGATCATGATGCACAGTGTCTTATACTCGACAATTTTTTTGTTACTGTTAGTATAATCAATAATAAACTAAGAAATAAATTCAAATCTAGATTAATTTCTTGTGAAACTATTAATTATTTTTCTGAACAGTTATCTAATGAAACATGGGAAGAAGTTTATCATATTACTGGAGTTAACAGTGCTTTTAACAAATTTTTATTAACATTTTTAAAAATTTATGATGCAAGTTTTCCTGTTGTTTACTTAAGTAACAACAACAACAAAAGTTGGATTACTACTTCCATTAAAATATCGTGTCANTGTCAAAGTCAATAAAAAGTCCGTCGAGTGTAACTATTTATAGATCACTTCTTTATCACTTCTGCCTTACATGTTTCGGTTTAATAAAAACCATCATCAGAGGCACATAGTACAAGCAAGAAAACACTGCCGTTGTTTAAGATGTACACAGTTATGTTTGCTGCGTGAACGCTGCTACAATACGTCGACATGTAAAAGCACAACACTTGTTAGGATTGTTGAATGCACGTTCAATTCTCACATTCATCCGAAACTGCCCTCAAGTTAAAACGTCAATGTTAAAATATTTAAAATTTAAAACATTTGAAGTAAAATGTTAAGCTCCTCCTTGTTAATTCGTCCCGAAGATGGGAGATGTCAGCTTAAGGATATGTGGCTTTTGGTTAGATGTTTCTTATGTGCTGCGTGTTTCATGCAATCTTCTCTATGAGATTATCATAGTTAGGCAAGGCCACCACAAGTTTTGCACAAGATGGGGCCTGAAAATGCTCATAGGTGCACACAAAATGCAGAGAATGGCTATGGCTTTGACTTTCTTAGAACAATACCACAAAGATGGCGATGAATTTCTCAGTCACATCGTAAGAGTAATAGGCAATGAAATCTGAGTTTTATTTGTCAGTGTTGAAACCAGGAAGCAGTCAAAGCAATGTGGATGTACACACATTCACTAAACAAGCTGAAAAAGTTCAAATAAACGTCTGCCAGAAAGCTGATGGCAGCTGGTTTTCTGGTACAGTAAATGAGTGTTGATGGTGGTATTCATGCAACAAGGGACCACAATAATGTCAGAAAAATAAAGCAAGACACTAAAATAAACTGTGTATGGCCATTCAGAACAAAAGGCATATGTTGACTTCAGGAGTACTTACAGTGCATCCACATACAGCTGCTAACACTTTATCACTGCTGAAGCATTTCAGCTGGTAGCCTTGATCTTGTTCTCAGCAACTACTGCTTGTTTACCTACCTGAAGAACTGGTTGGGATCACAGTGCTTCAACAATAATGAGGAGTTGATGGAAGGTGTCAAAATGTGGCTGAGCTCACAGGCAGCATACATCTTTGATGCTGGCATACGAAAACTTGTTCCTTGATACAAGTGGCTATATTGAGAAATAGCTTAAATATATATACATTTTTTATGTACAATAAATTTTGTTTTCATTGCTTGTTTTGTTAACAGCTCATCAGAGGTTACCTTCTGAATAGCCCTTGTATTATTTGGTGTGTTAGACACTGAACTAATTTTAGTGTGCCAATGTGCATGTAAAAGTTTGAGAAACGCATTGTTTCATTTTTGACAAGACAAGATTATTGTGATATATTCAAACTGGCATTGGATCCAATCTGTAGATTGCAAGTTATTTTCTACTGACCAGAATATATGTAGGTCATTTCAGAAGTAATGCGCACAATTTTTCGTTTACGTCCATGTTTATTTTTTTTTTTTAATATATCTTTACAGTCCTTCAACATAGTCCTCTTGCTTCTCAATGACTGAGTCCCAACGGGTAGGAAGTTTTACTATTCCATCCAGGACACCATCTTTGTTTATATGTGTATGTCGAATGGCTCAGGTAACTGCAGCAGAAAGCTCTTCCAGAGAGGGAAAATGATGGCCTCACATAGGTTGTCTCAACTTTGGGAATAAGTTGAAGTCTGGTGGACTCATGTCCGGGCTGTAGGGAGCATGAGGCAACACCTCCCAACCGTATTGATGCAGCTTTTCTGTTATGACATTCCCGATATGCGGGCGAGCATTGTCATGGAGAATGATCGGCCCAGCCTCGAGCAACTGAGGTCGGTTTTTTGCATTTTTTTGCAGATTTTGCATAAAGTCGCGATAATAAACTGCTGTGACACTTCATGGAACTCTGTCATGATGATTCCTTGGTGATCATAAGCAAAGATCATCATTTGTTTGACCTTTGATTGAGATTGTTGAAATTTTTTTGGTTGTGGGGAAGATGGACCTCTCCACTCGTTGGACTGTGATTTCAGCTCCGGTTCAAAGCCTCTAACCCATGTTTCATCAATAGCGACAGGTTGATACAAGAATGCTTGACTTTCAACGTTGAATCTTTGTTTCAGCAAGGTTGCAATGTCGAGGCGTTTCTGCTTCTGTTCAGCAGTCAAGCAGTGAGGGTCCCATCACGCAGAAATCATTCTCTTCTTTAAATCATTTGTCAGAATTCGGAATATTGACGTTGGTGGAATCCCCGTGGTTTCAGAAAGTTCCTCACATGTCGCACGACGATCTTCTTCAAGAGCATCTGACACAAGTTTCACATTTCGTTCATCTCTTTATGTTTTCGGCCTTCCTGGCCATGGATCATCGTTTATGCTCACACAACCGCCACGAAAACGACTAGCCCAGTGAGAAACTGTACTACGGTCCACCTTTAACTCACCACAAACTTCACATAAAGCACTGTGGATTTCTGTCGGGTTTTTTCCACGTAAAGTTTTGATCTTAATGTACGACCTTTGATCTTCAACAGTGACACTATCCGAGAAGCGTGCAGGCTCCATTTCTAACTCACATTATTGGAGAACAGAGTACATTATAAATGAAACAGAATAACGCACTTCTTTCTCAAGCCCTGAACTGTAACTGACGTGAGGCTCACTGTTGTTGCATGTCTAATCCACAGTGTTGCCAACCTGTGCATTATTTATGAAATGACCCACATATGATATGAATGTACAGTTGTTAAAGTTGTGATATTACTGACATTCCAGATTGTAAATAGTCTATTCTATATGTCATACAGTTAAAGATAACTGAGTACCATATTTTCCAATGTATAAGGCACTTCCCTACCCATAAAAAACTGCCCATACAATTATGTCTTAGACTGAAGATCTGTGAACTATGTAGAATGTAGTGTGACAGAAAAGGTATTTTTTCATACATTTTGAGAATACACAGTACATGTTTGACACAGAACAAAATATAAAATAATGTTTAAAGTAAAAAAGNAAATAGTCTATTCTATATGTCATACAGTTAAAGATAACTGAGTACCATATTTTCCAATGTATAAGGCACTTCCCTACCCATAAAAAACTGCCCATACAATTATGTCTTAGACTGAAGATCTGTGAACTATGTAGAATGTAGTGTGACAGAAAAGGTATTTTTTCATACATTTTGAGAATACACAGTACATGTTTGACACAGAACAAAATATAAAATAATGTTTAAAGTAAAAAAGTAAAGGTTTCCCTGTAACAGGCCATGGAGGCCCATGGGGTTATGAGATGTTGAGGCTCCCACATTTTCTAGACAATCGGCTCACAGATGGTGGTGAGGTTGTCAGCCTTACACTCCGGCCACCCTTTACCCCCAGGAATATTGCTGATACTCATTGTTAGAGACTGAGTGAACCCCCCGGTCCACAGTGCAGCTGAAAGGATTAGGTAAATTAAAAAAAAACTGCCTCATCAGGATTCGATCCTGCGACCTTCCAGCTTGTAGCCTAATGCCTCAACCAACACCACCACGTGACCCCAAATAGAACTTTTACTCAATAATTAAACATTAAAATTTGATAATGTTTAATTACTGAGTAAAAGTTCATATTTATTACTAATATTCTCAGAAATATTTCTTCTTTTATCCTTTAAGTGTTGTGTTTCCATTAGGAATAAATATTATTAAAATTATATAAGTTGTATATTTTTTTTAATTTTACTTCTTAAGTGATGTTCCATCTTAAATATCATAAATGTAGTAATTAGGTTCATATTGTTGTAGGATGTCTTGATTTTAAGCCAGTTTCTCAGATCTGATGGCTGTATGCTTCCACGTCGTATCACTGGATTATGTAGAAAGCAACAGAAACGAATGAGTGTGATGGTAGCTATGGCACAGAAGGCAGGTAAAAATCTTTTCCATATTTAATTTTTTTTTGTTCCAATAAGCATGATAGATGTAGCAATACAAAAAATGTTGAGACCAATTATTTGCTATTATTTACTAACCTAATTCATTGTTTTTCTGTTTCTCCATATGTGGAAATACAGTGGAACCTCGCTTAATGAGCATAATTCGTTCCAGAATCTTACTCGTAATGTGAAACAATTTTTCCCATATAAATTAATGTAAAATACAATAATGTATTCCATGCTGAAAAAAATACTCAAAAAATTTTATGTACAACGTTTATTCAAAGAAAGAAGCTTGCTGCTTCACCATGCCTTACAATGCTGTGGATGCCGGTTCTTCTCTTAAACTTCTCAAACCACCCACGGCTTCCCTTAAATGCTTCTTCTTCGGCCATTGATGACCCTGTTGTCTTCTTAACGAGGTTGGCAAAAATCACTTTTGCCTTCTCACAAATGATGTTCTCGTTAATAGTGTCGCCTTGCAATTGCTTTTCATTTATCCATATGAGGAGCAACCTTTCAAGATCGTCGAGAATACGTAACCGTTGTGTAGATATTCTTGTCACCCCCTTTGAAGCATCCATCTCCTTAATCTTGTCCTTGTTCTTGAGGATAGTGCAAATCGTTTATGTAGACCGATTGTATGTGCGTGCTAGATCACCCACGCTCAAACCTCGTTCTCGCTTTTCAATTATTTTACGTTTAATTTCTAAGGTTATTTTTATTTTCTTATGGCTGTGTTTTTGCAGCTTTCTCTTTGGGGACATTTTTGCAAGAGTTATTAAACTTTGCACAAAAAAACACAAATAATATGTCTGAACACAAGTTTGGAAAAATGTGTTATCACAAGCGACACTAAGATGCTAGCGGAACGAGTGCTAAACACAGCCTGATGTAGCAAGTGCAGAATCTAGGACTTCCTCTCTCGTCACTCATTATGCAAAACGTCGCTTGTTAAGTGAGTCATTTTTTTCAATTTGTTTTGCTCATTGTGCGAATTACTCGTTATGAGAGGTGCTCGTTAATTGAGGTTCCACTGTACTAGTGCTTAAAATTGTGAAAGTAGGCACAGAGCTGATTCCCAGTGACAAGATGATGTAACTTGGTAGTGTTATGTAATGTGTTACATATTCTTGCAGTGTCCAGTGATAAATATTTGTTCCTTATGTTTCTTTTTTTTTTTTTTCCAAATGTTTATTTTGGAGTTCCCGTTGTGACACTAATAATCAGTTTATTCTGTGGAGGAAGCATGTAAGTGGTTAGTAGAATGAATGAAATAAAGGAAAATTATGATCAGTTACTCATATATATTACATTGAAAACGCTTTGTTACAGTTGGAAGTAGCATATCATGCAGAGATTTTTCATGTAATATTTAGTAATCTTTTCAGTTTGTCATAGTAAAAACTGGCAGAAATCACCAATCTGAACATTTGTAAGATGATAATGAGGATGGTGACATCACTTATTTGGCTCTGTGATAAGGATAGGCTAAGAATAATATATAACACTTTTCAGAAGATGCATGAGAGAAGACACCACCAGCATTTAATAACAAGGGACATTTTAGTTTCTGGTCCTATACAAGGTGCAACAGTTTAATTCCCAGAATGGTCCATGAAAGCAAACTTTGCTTACTTGTGCACTAGCAGCTGCTGTCACCTTCGAAAAACTCTCCTTGTGAAGCTATGCACTTCGTGAGACGATGGTGCAGTCATGAAAATCGTTTTCCAGAATACATCACAATAAGGTCATGTTACATTGGATGTCATGAATGTCAGCTAATCTTTGTCCCTTCAGGGCATTTTGTAATTTTGGAAAGAGCCAAAAATTGCAGGGGGCTAAGTGAGGTGAATAAGGCAGATGGTCTATTTTTGTAATGGATTTCTTAGCCAGGAACTTGCAAATTCTTAACACATCATGAACAGGGGCATTTTCATGGTGGAGAATCCACTTGTCAGGCCAGAGTTTGGGTCTTTTCCTCTGAACAGATTCCCATAACCTTGTTAGCACTTTTCACAATTTGTCCTTGTGCAGTGAATTCACAGTGAACTATCCCCTTGTGATCGAAGAAACACACATGCATGGTCTTGAACTGCGATCGAGACATGCGTGCTTTGTTTGGCCGAGGTGAGTTCTGTGTTTTCCACTACGTGCTGTGGCCTTTTGTTTCCAGGTCATATTGAAAACATGATTCATCACCGGTAATGACCCTATCAAACATCTCTGCATTGTGTAAAAAATCAGATGAAATGTGAAGCCAATGTTGTTTCTGGTCATCTGTCAAGATTCAAAGCACTATCTTTGCGGAAATTTTTCTCGTTCCCAAATCATCTGTAATAATCTGTCACACTGTTTCCCTATTCATATTCAGTTCTGCTATTAGTCTCATGTCTGATCTTCGAACTGAGGGCACCAAGGTTCATACTCTGACCACATTTGCATGTGTCCTTTGCGTTTTTGGCTGCCCACTTCTTTGGTCATCTTGCACATCTCGCCTTCCTTGAACTGCCTATGCCATTCAAAAACACTCGATTTCTTCACAGCGTATTCACCATATGCTAATAGGGCTAACGTTTTACCTATCTACACACAAAACTTGATGTTTATCCACTGCTCAAAATTCTTGGCACTCATTTTTCTGCCAACAGCATACCACAGACATGTACTACTTCCTCTGCTGCTTGGGAACAAATGACTCATTTGGTCTGTGGCTCGAACATGTCAAAATGTGCTTGGGTACATGAGTTTGCCTGACAACATCCCAGCAACATGCTGTGGCCATTCTGGTAATTAAATTGTCGCACCTTGTATATCTGTCATTTAATTCCTGTTGTTATTTCTGTAAAGAACTTACGACAAAGTGTTCATTGTGGTCATGTTTGTAATTGTTGCTTTACAAACAGTATTCCATGCATAATGTATAGGTATATTTATAGCTGATTTCCATATCAGATTTCACATGTTTGGCTCCTTATTAGTTACTACCATCAAACCAGAGCAGAAGTAAATGTTGCATTCCCATAAATTTTGTTAAAAAACCCTTAACAAAATATATGTATTTTTAAGACCTATTACCACTTTTTGAAACACTAAATTAAGTAGCTCTGTTGTTGCTTGCATGTCATAAGTTCTCTTGCCTGTCATGTTATTATTATTGATTGTAGAAAATTAAAAGTTTGACATTGGGATGGCCTCCAGTAGCATAATGTCCCTACCCAATTTCATGAAATATCAGTCATCTGGTTCAAACATGGATAAAAGAGACATACAGGCAGCATGGTGACCTCATAAGCCTACATTCTTTCTCAAAATAACAGAAAGAATGCTAAAAATATGTTGTCAGAATCCATTTTGTTTTCACATAATTTATCTTTATACATATTGTAACCGTACGCATCTTTCACGGAAATGTCTTATTTGTTTGTACGTAACAATTAAGTTTAGCTGTTGAAATAAGATGCTCTGGAGGGATCAATGTCCTCTGCACTGGCCTTTTGTTACGAGGGGCTAAAGGGAGGTGAGTGAGTCCATTGCACTCGGGGGGGGATCCCTTCTGTCGTCCTTGCCTGCGGAGGTGTAGGACCTGTCGATGGAAGCTTCGAGAAGGCGTGTAGACCGGAAGGGGTCCTTGCGCTTGGTCATGTAGCCCCCCAGTAGAAAATTCGAGATCGCTGTAAGAAGGAGGTTTCTAAAAGCAGCGGCGGTGGTAATTGTGTAGTGGGTGAGTAGAAGTGAGTCTGTGAGGGAGTTCAAGTGAGTAAGGAGTAAAGTCAGTTGAGGAGGTTGAAGTCGAGTAGTCAGTCAGTAAAGAGTCAATCGGGAGGTCAGTGAATTGGGGGAGTAAAAGATCATTTAAGAGGACAGTGAATAAGTGTGAGCTCCGGGAGCATTATCAAAGAGATTGCGAACTGTTAATAAACGCTGATTTATGTAAGTGGATTTCAAAGAAATATTACGCAATCTAGCGAGGAAGAGAAGTTTCTACATAGGATAAATAAAGTTAATTAATCAGAAACTTATGAAACCGAGTGAGATATTTCATTTCCTAAGAACCTGTGCCTAAGTAATAACCAATCCAGCCTGCATCCAACACCCATGTACCCCTGAGATACAAGACTCATGACCGTGAACTTAGCCGAGGCACTACACCGTGAGGAAGGCAGCGTGTGGGGCGGGTGTAATATTTCAGCTTCATTTCTCATCATGAGTAAAAATGTACCACTCATTATGGAATTAAAACCACACATATGTATCATAAGAATACAACTTCCTGCTGTATTGGATACTGGTTCCAAGACCAGTTGCAGTGAACTCATGTGGCTTAATGCACTGGGAGAATCATACCTCAAAAGTCAGTTTTAGTAAACATTAATTAAAATTGAAGCCTCTCCACTACTGTAGCTCAACATGTACATATTTTCCAGGTCTTATGCCAAACATAGCACCACCTGGAAGTAAAATGGATCCGAAAAGAAGATTCAGGTGGAAAAAGTTCAACACCTACTTTGATGAATCAACAATCAAGGATGTGAAGAGCAGAGTTAAAAAGTAACGGTGACTGGGACAGCCCTGGCAGTGTGTGTGTGTGTGTGTGTGTGTGTGTGTGTTAAAGTAAAAACCTAAAATCTGTTATCAGAAACAGTACAGAAATCTAGCATTCCACTGTAACAACTAAAAGTTATTAAATAATTATTAATAAAACCCATAGTAAATGCTGAAACACATACTATCCTTTTCTATGGAGAATAGTTTTCACATCTCAGTTAGTTGTTGTCACTGCCTTTTGTCATTATGAAGAAATGTCTCGTGTATATTATTAAAAGCCCACCTGTGTAGGATATTCAGCAAAGCTGTTATGAACCAAAATTAATAAAGTAGTTACTATAGGATTCTGACGATGGTGTATAACACACTGATATATTGGGTTTTTGGACTTTATCCATCGTCCTGGTTTTTAAGATAACTAATAAAAACACGAAGTTTCGGAAACTGGATCTGTTTCCGTCCTCAGGTGAAGGATGGAAACAGATCCAGTTTCCAAAATGTCGTGTTTTTATTAGTTATCTTAAAAACCAGGACGATGGATAAAGTCCAAAAACCCAATATATCAGCAAAATTAATTAACTTTTCATTATTTTTCTCAAAATTTTTGAAGCTCAACATAACCAAAGACAGAGATATCAAGATTATAGAAAGAATGAAGGTAAAGGTAAAGCTATTCCTGTAACAGGCCGTAGAGGTCCACAGGATTGTGAGATGTTGAGGCTCTGACATTTTCTAGAGTCGGCTCACAGATGGCAGTGAGGCTGTTAGCCTTATGCACTGGTCACCCTTTACCCCCAAGGAAGATTTGTGGTAGTCATTTCTGTTAGAGGCTGAGTTGACCCCAGGGGCATAGTGCGACTGAAAGAATTAGGTCAATTGAACCTGTGACCTTCCAGCTTGTAGCGTACTGCCTCAACTAACTGCCCTATCATGTGCCCCCACAAAAGAATGAAATTAACACAAATTTGATATAATGGAAAAATGTATACATATATCAAAAACAAGTATGAATTGCAGAAATAGTTTCAGGTTATTTCCTGTTTAGCTGTTTTTGCACAAGCTGGTGTTTATTCTCAGTAGAAACTGAAGGTGCCTTGGACAAACTATTTCCATGCATTTCACAATAACTACAGATATATACCATGACCATGAATGGTTAATTATAAAGTAAATATCTGCAGAAGAGTGGTGGGTAACTTAATAGAGGGGGGAGATATTCTTTCCAAAAGGTGGGTTGAAAGACCAATATCCATTCATTTTCTCCTTTGCACTTGCTATTCCATGGTTTGCCATGAACTAAATTTGATTTCTGTCCACTGTCGTCCAAGACTACTGAATTGGCAAACTCCCTGGTACTGTCAATACATAAAATATGTGGCACACCAAGAGTAAGAAATATATTTTTTGTACGCGTATGTTTCTGACTTAAATGGAACTTACTATCTAGTCACCCTTCTTCCTCACTACGTATTTTGGCCGTATATGACCATCATCAGGTGTCGTCCCACTTGTGAGAGCTGTCAAGAAGAAAATGAAACAGCCACACATATCCCGTGTGAATGTGAGGCCTTAGCTTATTTAAGATTACGTCACTTGGGTCAATACTTTATGGAACCAAGTGACTATTTCAATGCCCCCATGTACAAAATCCTGTGCTTCATTCAGAGTGCAGGATTGCTGAAGGGATAATCCACAATAGACCACAGTAGGTCACTGTGCAAGGGCCGAGAAGGCCTACCCCTCATACGTTCATTCATCATCACGTGTCTTTATCTTGCTAAAACTCTTGCACTATATGTCAAAATTACATATTACATGTGAACAAAATATTTCCTTATTAAAATAAATTAACCTTAATTAAAATTAATTAACATCTTAATGTTTTTCATTGTGGCTGTCATCCATTTATTTAAGAGATATTTGCTTGAGTATTTCTCATTTTGGATTTATTCACACAGTATTCCCTTTGCAGCATGGGTATTATGCGTACTATTTGTGCAGTTTGTAAGGATGCTGATGTAGTGTTACTATCAGTTTTGTTATGTATGGACCACTGGCTGTAAGGTTTTCCACACTGTTACAGTAATGTTGTCATGTGGTCTATGTATGTAGATGTTACAATGTCTACATACACAGACAACTGGATGTAGGCTGTTCCATGCTACTAGAGTAGTTATGTTAAGTGGACTGAACGGAGTACCTCAACAAGCATGGTTAACCTCCAAACACACACTCAGGGCAAACTGCTCTCCAGGAGGACTTCATAATATTAGAGCAGAAAGATCCGTTTTAAAATAACCCAACAGTTTCCTTTGTACACAGCTGTGCAGTACCAACTTACAGTTGACTAATGGAGATACACTGTTAAATGAATCACTGCATGTTTCCAATCTCATGTTACATGTTCATTTAAGGTAGTTTTCAGTAGTACACCTGCTGCTAAACGAAAATAAGTATTTCACTGACTTCTAGTGGAGACAAAAAGTGGTAGATGCCACCAAAATCAAAGTATTCCAATTGTATTTTGCAAATAAAATGAAACGAAACTTTACATTTCTCATTTCAAAAACTATATATTTTCCACATAGACAATACCCACATAAAAATGTTCTTAATAACTTGGGCAGATATGTTGGAAAGATTACTGATACCTTTGCACTCAAGATCCCTACATCATCATTGAAATAAAGCTACTTTATGACTGTCAAGTCCAAACTCTGGTGAAATCCTGGGATTTGGGTTCATCTTGTAACCAAGATTAAATATTAAAAATTCCAGAAACCTACTGACATCGCACAGGGGTAAAGGAGAGGAGCGTGTTCAATGACATCACAGTCATATAATTGCAACAAAAGCTTTCTTGAGAGCTATATTATGCTCTATTATAATATACTGAAGCATAGTTACATTATTACTTGACAGCCACTCTCATTACATCAAGTGTGAGAATGCAGTCTACAGTAAAACCTTTGTTAAGGGTTTATTTTGTTTTCATTTTATCCACACATTACCTTCCCTCCTACAGCTGACATTTTATATTTTAACTGGTCCCTTCAGTAAGCTCTTAAAATAGTTATGTACATAAACCTACTCCAGTTTATATGCTGTCAAATATATTAGGTAGGACACTGCAACACTGCATGTACACTTTAAAAAACAACATACACCAATTCTTTATAATGGTGAACTCCTACCAAAGACAGCAAGTGTATTTAATGGTTCTCGTAACAAGAAAGTGATTGACTCAAGCCATAAATTGGAGGGCTGCATGACTTCTCAAATAGCTGAACTTTTTCTGTGCCGGACACACAAAATTCAATTTTGTACTCACCATGCATAATTACAGTATAATTTCAAAACCCTGAAAGTTTTGTATCTATATAGGCACTAACTTTCCTATTTAATTAAACTGATCTGAAATAACCGACCTTTATCTGCATTGAATGTACGTCTCAAACTTCAGTAATCTCTCTTCAGATGCAAGGACAAAGAACAAAGTCAAGATTTATTGTAATACAAATTATTACACATTTGCAGCTTGTTGTTAACAATAAGCAATTTAATACTCTTGTGCTGTAATAAACCACTGAACACTATTAAAGAGAGATCTTAAGTAGGAAGGAAAAAATAAGAGCTCAGTACACAAGTCGATGCATAATCCTTAAATCCATGTTCATCATGACCTATCTTGAAATTTCCTGCACCCACTGTCTTAAAATAATGCCACAGATACATGTTATACAAAGAAACCAGTCACAATTACTTGAAGGTGCATTACATTATGGAGTGTAGACATGAAATGTGCTTTGCTTATGAACACACAGGAATGAAAACTAAATGCAACTGATGGACAGTATGATGAGTTTATATAATTCATGCAACTTGAGTTTCCAAATTTTTCCACCTGAAGCACTACACTCAGTTGTGTGTGTGTATATATATATATATATATGTTTCCAAGTAGAAAAAGCTAAACATGTGCTGCAGTTTCATGACCCTAGGTCTGTAGTTACAACTCAAAGGATATTTCCTATGGTGTCTTGGAACAGAACCACAAACAAAAATGTTTGTTTACAAGTGGTACAAACTCTGTGATCAAATTGGTTGCATCTGGAAGGCAAAAAGGCCTAGGAGATAACCAATTATTGAAGCTCAGGTGGACTAAGTTTGGGCAATTTTTGTTCAGGCCATGCAAATCAACCAGGCATGCTCCCCAATAAACATGCCACAGAATTCTATAGAAATGTGTGAAGTCGCAGGTACCAACTTTTGTAACATGAAACTGCCCGAGACAAAGAAGTTTGCTACAGACTTTGTTGTGACATTCAACAGTGCTTTTTACATGCCACCACTGAAACCAGTCTGGCAGAACTTCCTATGGGCTGCCATGGTTACCATTACCCTTGACTTGCTTAATATGCAGGCTGAAAACACAGCTATATCTTCCAGGTCATAGTGCCCTCAATGAATGTATGTCACAGAAACTGGATCACATAGCCTATTCAAATGCATTTAGTTTACATTCCTCTGCCTTGATATGAAGAGCAATGTTATAGCAAAATACACATTTCATGTATATGCCCTGTACTTCAGACACCAGATATATGGACTGACGAGAATCAATAGCAAACAGACCTACAGATCACAGCACTTAGATGTGTCTGTTCATAATGAACAAGCTACCTCCCATATGTAAAGGTATAACACATTCAGTGAGATAGGTATGTGATGCCTGTGATAGGGCAACAGCAGTTTACTGCATGACTGAGGAAGGAATATCCCAGGAATATATCACTGGTAAATAACAGCACCAGTTTGTGAGAAAATGAAATGATCCAAGAAGAATGTGCTGAAGTAAACATTTAAGATGATATGCCCCACTATACATAGACTGTTAAAGACGTCTGGCAAAAGACACAAAAGTTTCACTGAACCTGCATCCATACCAACAAGACCAGTATCAAAATTTCACCCATACAAAATAGCATACATGCATGACCTTAAACAGATTAGGCAGCAGCTAGTTACTACTGCACAACTGATTTTTGTAACTGTTGAGGCCTTACTTTAATGGTCATGTCAATATGCAAAAATGTCAAAATGAAGAAAATCCTGATGCCATTCAACAAGATACATTACAGTGTAAAGTTGTGGCATGGTGTTGTGTGTATGCATGGAAGTTTACTGGCACTAGAAATTCAAAATTTGTGTGAAATTTATATGCTGCAAGGCATGCATTAATGCAGAAGGGGTCAATTCTAGCAGTTTTCATAAAATATGGTTTTTGTCACCATTTTGCAGTAATCAGTAATGAAGTTTTAAGTAGACAGTCGGATCCTCATGCATGGATACAAATGGCACCATCCCCTCTACTGTCCTGCAGTAAACAATCCCTCTGTTGTCACATGCCCCACACTTCCCTCCCAATTGCACACCCTATATCATCAATCTATCTGGCATTAGCAGAATTTTAAGTTCTTTCTCCAAGGTCAGATGTGAAGGAAAATTATAATCAGTAATTATACTGTGGATTGGATTTTATTGCTTTCCATTTGAAGCTGTTTTACATGCATTTCCTAATATGTAAACTAACTGAATTTCAGTCAGACTCATTCCAATACAATCATGGAAATGGACATATTTTTTTAAGGAATGTATTCTCCTTTTATTTGAAAGGGATTTCATCTACAGAACATAAAATATTATGCTTCTTTCAAATAAACAAAAACTTAAAAAGCATGGACAGTCGTTTAAAATAATACACTGATCTACAGTATAACAAGTTCAATACTGTTAAGATTTGAATTTGCAATGAGAACAGCATTTATAAGGCTGCAATTACAAATGTGCAAACCAGGAGTTAAAACAATTTTCTACTTATCACTAAGAAATATACTTCTGTCTGCTGTTATCAATAAATAATTAATAAACTCTGCTATTATGAATGTTCACAGGTGTAATATTTATATAATTTATCCTGTGCTTTTTTACTTTTGTTAATTTGTAAATCTTGCTCATCATTAACTCTTGTTTATTAAGAAATTAAAGAAAAAATGGACTGGGCCCTCAGCTTGGTTTCGTCTCACATGACGCACCATTGGAATAGCCACTATGGGGCTGTGTTTCTGCATCACACATGATAAATTATGCACAAGAAGTGTGAGGTGCTTCGTACAAAGATAAATTGTATACCAATGTAATGGCTTGAGAGTACAATGTGATAAAACAATGGATTTTTTTTTAGTTTTTTAAGTCAGTACTTTTACACTTACAAATTTGTAATTAATCAATAACAGTACTCCATTACAACATTATCTTTAAGCCATACATAAAATTTACTATAAAACTACTGTAACAACAAGCTTTCACTGCAGTTTTATGGTATGTTTCTGATTTGAAGAGTTTACAGCTTGTTGAACAGAATCATATTAAGTATAAAATGTCATGTTAAGTTCAGAGTAGCATGTTCTGCCAATAATAAATGAAGTATAATATTGATGACTTAGTTACTAAAGGTATCTGACTTCCATAAGTATTCATTGTGATTTCTATATACAGCAGTTTATTAATTTCTTAAACTGAAGTTTTCAAGTTAGTACATGTTCAATAAGAAACAGTTGCTCTGTATTTAACATATCCCTCTCCCCACACTCACATTTAATTTATGAACTGGTACTTCAGTCATTAGTCTCATATGCTGGAGATGTTGGAGAATAGGTGGGAGAGGTAGGAGAGTAACCTGGCACAGCAGGCGAATATGTAGGTGATGAAGGGCTATAGTTGGGAGAAGTAGGGGTATATGTTGGACTTGTGGGAGAGTACTTGGAGCTTGATGGTGAATACTGTGGACTTGTTGGGGAGTAGGTAGGGCTAGTTGGAGAATAATTTGGCGAAGTAGGTGAGTAATGTGTGGAGGCACTAGGTGTATGTTGTGGTGAGCTGGGAGAATATGATGGACTTGTTGGGCTATATGTTGGGCTAGTGGGTGAATACTGTGGTGATGCTGGAGTGTACTGTGGAGATGAGCCAGGGAAAGAAGGTGAGGTTGGAGAATAGGATGGAGATGTTGGTGAGTACTTGGGACTGCTAGGTGAATAACTGGGGCTAGCAGGTGAATACTGTGGTGAACTTGGAGAATAGCTTGGACTGGTTGGTGAATATGAAGGAGAGGCAGGTGTGTAGTTAGGTGAACTTGGAGAATAACTTGGACTTGTTGGACTGTAAGATGGACTTGGTGAATAAGATGGGCTGGTTGGAGAATATGAAGGACTTGTAGGAGAGTAACTTGGGCTTGTTGGTGAATAGGATGGACTAGTTGGGATATAACTGGGACTCGCTGGACTGTAACTTGGAGATGTTGGACTGTAGCTTGGAGATGTTGGTGAATATGATGGACTAGTTGGACTATAGGATGGACTGGTAGGGCTGTAGCTGGGGCTTGTTGGACTATAGCTTGGAGAAGTAGGGCTATATGAAGGAGACGTTGGAGAATAAGAGGGGCTCGTTGGGGAGTAGCTTGGACTTGTTGGTGAATAATTTGGTGAAGTGGGGGAATATGATGGACTTGTTGGACTGTAATTTGGACTTGATGGTGTCAGGCTGGGTGACGGAGCATATGCAGGACTTGACGGTGAGTAACTTGGTGACATGCCACTTACTGGGCTTGGAATGTATGGACTCATTACTGGACCAGGTGAAGATGGACTTCCAGGTTGTGGGGAATAAGGTGAATATCCAGGTGAAAGACCACTTGCATCACTGGCACCTGATGGTGAGAAGCTTGGTCCACCTGGAGTTGCACCACTGCCCAACACTGAAATATTAACATATTTATAGTGCCAGATAATTTATAACAACATTCTCATATTTATATTTTCTGAACTAGACTGATCACAAATTGCCAGAATTAAAATTTGATACTTACTATTGCCTGGAGACCATGAGCTGACATACGCTGGAGTTGCACCCTGGTTCCATGGAGTCATATGAGGACTCATGGATGGTGATGCTGCACTACCAAAGAACATACCTCCTCCCATCATGCCTGCACCCATGCTCATTGGTATTTCTATACCTGCTTTGCACTTCTCTGCATCAAGCAGCAAATCAAATGCTCCTAGAAACAAGTAAAATGAAGTATCAGCATCATAAAAACCATTTCCTCATTGCAGTGGCTTAAAGAAGAACATGCCTCAATGATTGTTTACCTGTGCCTAGACGGGGAAGTTGTCCCATAATGATGTTCTCTGAAACACCTCTCATGGGGTCTACTTCAGCATGTGATGCTGCGTCCATCAATACATCAACTGTTTCTTCAAATGAACATCTCATGAGTGCGCCTGTATCTTGCCTGTTGATCCCATGACGTGTGATGGCCATCAAGTGGCCTTTAGCAGTCATCACGTCACACAACAGGGCAAGATGTCGATAGTTCACATATAAACCATAGAACTGCAGGACAGTGTTCATTTCTTTCTCCACTGATTTACGCACAGCCTCAATTCCAAGCACCTAGAAGGAACACATGATAAACATGAAAAGACTGCATCACTCCTGTACCGCAGGCAAATGAGACTTAGAGATGTTAAGATACAACATACTCCTCTGCCTAAGCACAATGCCATAAATAAATACTGAGGGATGGGACATTACAGGCATTCCTAAATGCAGGTCCATGTGCTGAGCAGGGCCCAGAGCCATTCTGGACACACTGCAGTAAATGGCCACATGGCCCTGTGTTCTAGTGTTCTAAATTAAAAATGCTATAATAATCACATTTTCTTGGGAGACATGGATCTGAAAACTGGAGAAAATAATCTTTGTAACTTTAGAAACACTGAAAAGGAATGAAATAATGAGCATAAATTAACAATATAAGAAGAGCTCTTTTTACAACAAGTACTCACGATTAACTGTCCTGTATTAGGAGCTCAATTCAAAATTAAGTCCATAACAGCATGATGACTCTAAGGTACAAAATACTTACAGAGAAAATCTCACAGATGTCATTGGAGAAAGTTCTATTTGTATCAACATCCCTTTCACTTAGCACTTTCATCATACTTGTGCCATCAGTTTCCAATAACCACTCAGCAATTGCTTTGAACTCTCCTGTGTCAGTCACTATTATTCGTTTTTTTGAGTCTGTCTGGGGCAAATGCATGTACACTTTGCCTATCGCTTCAATGCCCTGTTGAAAGAGAAAATGTTGTATCCAGATAAATGTGCATGAAATTTAGGTCACCTTGCACTTCAGAGATATATTATTTTATTTTAAAATTGTAGGTGAGAATAACTGCAACTTTAAGAATTTGTACTGATTTACTCTTGGGCTGTATTGTATCTCTGACGCAAAAGAACTGGCGTTAAATTAGATAAACCATATTGAGACTAGAAAATCTGTGTTGAGAAATTGCATATTTACTAACACAACTTTTTACATTCAGATTTAGAATATCAATCCATAGAGAATATTGTTATCAGAGTCTGTAAGTGCTGCTCTGTGTCCTAAGATTGCACATTTGCTTTTTTTCTCTGTGAATATTTTTGAATTCCCAGTTTAAAGGATATTCTTGTGGCAGGGACTGCATACCTTGGTTTACAATAGGTGCCAATTAATTTTTTACTACTGACACATCAGTTATATAGAAGACTACAAGAAAACCCTGTTCTTCACCTCAGTGTCGTAGCTCTCCTTGTCAATATCACAATATATAAAACCCACCACTGTAAAAGCGGAAAAGCACTCAATTTAAGAAAATGAAGTGTACTAATATAATTCATCCATTTAAGAAAAGATTCAGGACAAATTTTAACTGCATCCAAAAACTCTACCCAAATAGTTGCACACTGTCTGAACAGCCATGGCTACCACACAGACTGGCAAGAGTATGGAATAAAATTAGCATCCTTGGGTGCTTCCTATTAGGTCCATGTTAGAAAACCATAGAGGCTGGAAACAGAAGTTATTTTAAAATATACTAGATCGGAAGTAACCTGTAACATATATCTTGGGCATCAAATGCATGCTATTTTCATAGCAAATTTCAGTACAAAGGTGCATGATGTATGATAGTGCTGGCACACTGGACTATTCTACCACTACACAGACTCCACAATATCAGATCAGAAAATTTTAATGTTCAATTTTTTACTTTTGATGAAAATTAATATGGACCTATTGACAATATCTTCTGGATCACTTTAATACGCACTGAAGTAAAATATGTTCAGTTAGCCATGTTAAAGGCAAAATTGAAGATATTCTTTTTTCTGTGATTTATTTTATGATGCTGCCACATCTTAAAACTATATAGCATGAAATGGCATTGGAAAGGATTTGGAAGGAATGGGTCATGCCCTAACTGAGGTGCTATTCTGGCATTGGCCTGGAGGGACTGAGGAAAACAATGCAAACTTCAGTCATGGTAGCCAATATCCTGGCAAATATGAACTGAAAATTACTGTTTGTGCAATCCTAATATTTCATGCTAAAACTTGAATGTTTACATGTCTCTTTATGTAATATACTGATATTTTCCATGAATATTCAGGTCTCATGTCCATTTTAAATAATTTTGAAATAACTAAATACAAGACCATGGAAGGACAGTAATTTCCACATGGGGGGGGGGACCCCAAAGAAATGAAACAGCTAACTCAAGGAGATGAGCCCTTCTTGAGAAACTGCTACTCAAGAATTTCCCAGCATTATAGGGAACCCGAAGGTTCATTACCATGTTCACAAGAGCCCTCCACTGGTACCTGTCCTGAGCCAGATCAATCCAATCCATAGCATCCCAATCTCTCTCAGATTCATTTTAATACTGTCCACCCACCTCTGTCTTGGTCTTCCCAGTGGTCTCTTTCCTTCTACTTTCCCACCAATATCCCACATGCATTCCCCTTCTCCCCATTCATGCTACATGCCCTGCCCATCTCATCCTCCTTGACTTGATCATTCTAATTATACTTGGCAAAGAGTACAAGTTATGAAGCTTCTCATTATGCAGTTTAACCTTCCAGTGCCTGGCGACGTACATCGCAAGTCGGCATTTAAATGCCACATCTGGCCAGGCGACTCGTGTCGTACGTCTTGTGCAGTGCTAAGTTTCAGCTCTTATTTTGAACCGTTGCTTTTCATGTAAAGTAATACTTTCGGTATGAAATTAAAGAGAAAATTTCTGTCTATCATTTCGTATATTCGTTATCCCACTTTGAACTTCCCGGGGGGTTTTTTTTTTTTTTTACATTTGAAGTTTCTGAAGAAGTTTTGTAGCTCGCCATGTAGGGTGCAGTATTGCCGTACAAATCTATCTCCACCTCTTGGAGTAGTTAAGAACTAAATATGCTAGGTTTATAGTCTGTGATATCCCTGCGTGTTGGTCGAAGCAAAATCGATTTCCATTCAGCCAGTGATGAGTGCTGCCTCTTGAACGGAATGAGAAACCACGTTTAGAACCTATCAAGAAAGATGAGATGTTGACCTCTGATATGACTGCTGTTGGATATGATAAACAAATGCATTGTTTGCATTCCTTGAGGTTCCCTTTGTTCCACAAATAGCTAATGCAGTTTGCATGTAGCAGCCATGGCTGGGGCAAGCAAGAGATGTTCAGCTGTGTTGAGTGACGAGGACTTACAGTGTTTGCTTGAAAGTGATTCCGAACAAAGTCTGTCAGATTCGGATTTTGACACTGAAAACGAGTTAGATGATCGTGCCTTGATTGATGCTGTTGGAAATGAGGGCAGCATTGAGCGTTTCCGTGACTAGCACACACAGCTGAATTTTTAAAGTAATACAATACTACTGTTCATAAGTTTTATACGCTTACTGGCCCAAAAATAATTTTAAAGTAGTGTGGATCAATACTCTAATTCTATATACTTCTCTGGACGTTGTGTGAAAATCTGAAAAACAAAACACCAGTTTTTCCCCCTTTATTATGCTTTAAGTTAAGTGCTACATTCTCCGATTTTATTAGTTAAATAGCCGCGCGGCATTGGAGTTGAAAAGCGATTTAAATGCTCCCGGCGCTGAAGGGTTAAACAAAATAAAATGCAAAGGAAAATTTGACTTCCGAAAGCCTGCTATCTTCATTAATATATAAGCATGGCATCATCCAAACTTTCTGACAAAGGGCAACAGGTAGAATGAGGATGAAAGATGCATACAAACCTGCAATGTCATGTCAGACAACATATTTGCTTCAATACATCGAAGAAACATGTCGTCTTCCATTTTGTCTACAGTTTCTTCTTCATCCTGGAATTTGTTATCATCACTGTTCATGATACGGATACGTAACACTAATTTCTCTGCATTGTCATCATTGAAAATGCAATTGAGATCATCACCAAAACCAGCATTTATCTTTTCAGCAATCTGTTCCATAGTCAATTTCTTGTCTGTAACAGGGATTAGTCACATCAGTCATTATAATAACAGTCTAACAAGATGCATTCTTCAGATTTCATGAACCATCATAACACATACTTTCACTGAACTTGAAAACATAAAAGACAAACCACACTAGGAAACAAGACATGCAAACAGGTGGAAGATCATGGGATACATCACTGAACCACTGCATGTGCCAGAAATGCCAAGGCTGCTTGAGGGTAAATGCTGCTGCACAGGGCCTGTATCATGCGAAAAACTGCTCTTCCTTCTAAATATTCATATTCCACACCTGATACCAAGAAGTCCAGAAATGCTGTACTAACTGATTCATAATGAGCGATCTGAATTCCACTACCCTGAGGTGATCTAGTCAGTAAGTGGTCTGAGAAGGTTAAACAGTTCTTCACAAAGAGGTCTGCATACAGTCCTGTCATGGGTTTTTGCTTTAGTAGCAATAAACCTGTTACATCCTGTAATTCCAAGTACAGTTTAACTGCAACATGTGACTGACCTGTCATTCTCTTTCGGTCAAGTTCAATTCGCAGCAACCAGGGAGAAATGCGTGTTGGATCAAAGTCAGGCATCTCATAGTAGACATTTACAAACTCCTGATCCTCTGCAATCACAGTGTTCTGAGGATCTGGATCATAATAAATAGCAGTATTTGCTGTCACCTAGAATTTGAACATGAATATATTAATTTTCATAAATCCCTGTCATTTCCAATAACCAAACATCCTGAAGTTCCTCTGGTTCTTCCCACAGGTGTCAGGTTTGAATGGGGTAAGCTGGAAGTGTGTGTTTTAGGTTCTGTCAAGGAAATCTAGTGACAGGTCAGAGCAACACTGTGAAACCTGTGGCCCATGAACTAATATTGGATTTCTTACATTAATAATAATTCTTTATTATTTATGTGCCAAGTCAACAGCTGCAAGGCCAGTTACAAACAGAGCACAGTGCAGATTCAAGTAATTACATTATGGACAATTACAACATAAAGTCAAAGACAAATTACAGGCAAGTACTGGAAGAAAAACACATTAATGCAGATAAGTAAACAAATAATAATAATAATAATAATTTAATTTACATAAATCTAAGTTGTTGTTGACAACTGAGAAATGAAACGTATAAATATTTAATTGTAAAATGAAAATGACAGATATTCAGAGAGGATAATAATAATAGAGTTTAATTGTTTTTTTATATTCATGCAAATAATAATAGTTATAATTATACCATAGCGGCCTCCGTAGTCTAGAGGTAACGTTCCCACCTCATGACTCGTGGTACGCGGGTTCAAACCCAGCGGAGGTCATCGAAGTTTTAAGGGCAGAAAAATTCAGGTAACAAGTCCTCCGGGAGGGACTTTAAGCCGTGTGTCCCGTGTCCTAAGGAGGTCACTGAGCCAAATTCAAGGACATTTCCCGCCCAACAGTAGTCTCTAACGCCTCTGATAGATGGGGGAAGCATTATAGATACCGCTAAGCCAGTAGAGGCCGAACTCGCTGGCTTGGTCGGGACTGATGGTACACACCAATATTGGTAGGGTATAGAGACTGGTAGACTATCATAGAGGGAAGCACAATGGACCAATACTGGTCTAAGTGCATGGGGAAACCCACCCTCTCCAATAACTAACTAACTATAATTATACCATATTTAAAATCGTTTCGGGAGAACGTTCCTTGCTCCAAATATGTCAAAATCCCTGCAAGCAACATTAGCAGCTGCTGCACATCTAGCAGAGGAACAACTTTTACATGAGGAGCAAACACTGAACAATGCAAAGTCTCTGATATAACGAGCAGGAACTCGGAGACCAACACTTTCCAGAACAGAAGGGCAGAATTTCAAACCAAAGTAAACTTGAGTAAGAAAGAGAGCATCAAGACGATGCATCCTAACATGTAGTGTGTGCAATTTTAACTCCTCCAGAGCAAGAGAATAATTGTAATGGACTTGAGGAGGAGGAGGATGAGGATGATGATGATAATACCTAATAGTAACTTAGTGAAGGATGAGAATGGTGAACTGCTTGCATATTCCCACAACATTTTGAATAGGTGGAAGAACTACTTCTGTTATTGAATGTACCTAAGGTCAGTGATGTTAGGCAGGCAGAAATCCATACAGCTGAGCCGTTAGTACCCGATCCTAGCCATTTTGAAGTTGAAAGTGCTATTGCAAAATTGAAATGGTATAAATCGCTAAGTAGTGATCAAATTCTGGCAGAACTTGTTTGAGCAGGAGGCAAGATCAATAAGCTAATCACTTCTATTTGGCATAAGGAAAAATTGCCTGATCAGTGGAAGGAGTCTATTATTGTACCAGTTCACAAGAAGGATGATAAAACTGACTGTAGTAATTATCGGGGGATATCACTGCTATCAAATTCATACAAAATTTTATCCAATATTCTTCGCTCAAAGTTAAGTCCATATATAGATGAAAATATTGGGGATCATCAGTGTGGGTTTCGAACAGATCAGATCTTTTGCATTTATCAGACACTGGAGAAAAAATTGGAGTACAGTGAGACATTACACCAGCTATTCATAGATTTCAAGAAAGCTTATGATTCAGTTAGGAGGGAAGTATTGCACAATATTCTGATAACAGTTTGGGATACCCATGAAACTGGTGAGGCTGATTAAAATGTGTTTAAACAAAACATATAGTAAAGTTCGTTTAGGTAAACATTTGTCTGATAAATTTCCTATCCAGAATGGTCTGAAACAAGATGCTTTATCGCCACTACTTTTCAACTTTGCTTCAGAATATGCCATTAGGAAGGTGCAGAAAATCCAGGTGGGACTGAAATTATGCTGGTCTATGCCAATGATATGAATCTACTGAGTGACAGCACAAACGGGAGATACGAGAAATGCATATAGGATACTGGTGGGAAAGCCAGAAGGAAAGAGACCACTGGGAAGATCAAGGCATAGGTGGGTGGACAATATTAAACTGGACCTTAAGTGGAGGGCTCCTGTGAACACAGTAATGAACCTTTGGGTTCCATAAAATGCTGGGAAATTCTTGAGTACCTGCAGAATTGGTGGCGCCTCAAGAAGGGTTCAGCTCCATTAGTAAGTAGTAGTAGTAATTCAATTCGTGTTCATTTACGTGCAAACTTAACAGCACAGTGGACAATTACAAAGTCAGCACAAGTATATAAAATACACAAAAATAATTAAAAAGCAAAATGAAAAATATGACAGGCAATAAATTAATGACAAGAAAACTGAAGTTAGCTTTAACAGGTGAAAAAAATAAAATAAGCCAAGTACGAAACTAATATAAAGCAGGCCACAAGCAAAACTCAGTCAATGTGAGTGAATGTAGGCCTGTTACCAAACAAGCACTCTTCCTCACTTTCAAACAGCCAACACAACATAAACAACAAGAGTGTTCAGTATCTTTAATAAGTGTAAAGTATTTCCGAATCTTCATGCCTGTACCTACCTTTCTCAATGTAGTGTGCTCCAAGCGACACAGGACATTCTTAGCCTTCTCGGCATCTCTGGCGGCTGCACCAGTAAGGAACACTGTAAGTGAAGGAGCTTTGGGCTTCTTGCTGATGTTGATGATTTCTTTCAGGCGGGGTACACCCAGTGTTACATTCTTGGAGGATACACCAGCAAAGTGGAAAGTGTTCAGTGTCATCTGTGTAGCAGGCTCTCCCAATGACTGGGCAGCCAATGCTCCTACCATCTCACCTGGACTAACCTAAAGCACATAAAAGGTATAACTCTGGTATCTGGCTAAACCAAAAGTGCACATATGTAATTACTCAAAGGAATGACAAATCACAAACAGGGCCCAAAAAATAAACTGTGTAGGCCAGTAGATCAGACAACATGAGACTGAGAAACAGATGAAGCATGAAAATTACTGAAACTTTCCAGCTTCTTGTCTCAATCTAATATGGGTGAGGTGATTACACAAAGGATGATATGGCAGCATACAAGATAAGGCAATAAATGTGTGTTACACTAGACATGAACAATCTGGTTGTACTAACCGGTGATTATAAAAATTGCCAAGTGAGAACTGTACACAATTGCCAGTTTTTATTCATCATTACCACTTAATCATTCCTACTGACATAAACAATATATTTAACTCTTTGAAGTGTGATTTTAAAAATTTACAAAAAGGACTGCAATGGAATGGATGTAGACTTGTGGGACATACAGATCATAACAGATATAGCAAATATAACCATGTGGCACATATGTCCCAACAGACTCAAATGGAAAGACTTGGGGGGGGGGGACACCACCTAGGAGAGGATAAACAGGAAGAAAAACCTTGTGATGTGTTAACTGAACTATAACATCAGGTTCTAATGAATATCATACACAAATATTATATTTAAGCATTCTGTTGCACTCTACACGATAAATGATACAAAATCCATCCCAAGTGCAAACAATATATATTATGTCGTTGATCTTGTTCTCCTCTACACTACATGTTTCGGCCTCTAACGGCCATCATCAGGTGTATACTCTTACGTTACTGAGTAAGAGTAACGTAAGAGGAGAACAAGATCAACGACATATAATATATACTGTTTGCACTTGGGACGGATTTTGTATCATTTATCATACACAAACCTCACGTTCAGAGAAGGGGATTCTTTGTACAGTAAATGATTTATCAGCTGCAGAAAACACAGAATGTACCATGAACTTACAGCAAAAACATCCCATGGCATAGGTGCAATGTTTATATTTTGTAACTTTTGTAGTAGAAAAAAGAAACACTTGCTAGTCCCATTTAATTGACTGGTCCTGTCAACATGTGTTCAGTGCCGAGTTAATGAACGTTATTATACTTTTACGACCTTCTACTAATTTATGTGTTTCGTGGTTTATAAATTCTAAATGTCGAGACAGAACAGCCGCAGGAACTATAGTGCACAAGATTTCTGACATGCTTCACCCAATATAATTCTACACATACAGCACACAGTAAGAGTGGGAGCTTCTTGCAAAGTATTAAGGCAATGTTACATACAATTTAATGTACAGTTCCCTGAACCCACTTATCATACTGTTATACTGTCCTGAAATTGTATTGTAACTTGTTTTTCAATCTAGCACCATGTTCACCATAAAGGGTATGATGATTCATTTTGCCTTTCTTTTTACACCTTTTTTATTTTATGGCTAAAATTCATAGCCTGAATACAATCTTTCTTCACTAACATCCAGAAAAATGGGTAATCCTCAAAGAACTCCATTCTTTTCTATTTGTCCACACAAGTACTCCCAGATTTGTGTCCACTCTTTCCTTTCTCACTCCATCTTGTCCTTGGTCTCCCCAGTGGTTATTTATATTATTAATATAAATCTTTGAGGCTGTTAAAGGTATTCTATCATCGTCTTTACATAAAATTAGCCAATACATCATACCCTAAACTGACGAAGTATCCTTTCAGCTTCTCTGCTTTCACATCTTGCACAATATCCTGTATCAAACTTCAGCCTTTTTATTTTGTTTCTTAATACTTGGTAAGATCTTCCTGTATACTCACTGTACAGTTTTCTGGGTACAGCACCATGTAAAAATGTTAAAAATTACTGACATTTCAAGAAAATTTGTTGTCACCTTGTTCAGAGACATGTCTACCGACTGTAATCTGCTTATGTCTCCTGCAGTGCATCTCAAGTCTCTGCTCTGATGCCAAACTATTACTTTAAAATGTTTTATATACCTTAACTTTCATTCATAATTACCACCTTAAGTACCAACATCATTCTTGAGTGTTATTCAGTATTATATGTCAAAATATTCTTCAGTCATTCCTCTATACTTGTATTTTTGTGAGAAAATTGCTTTTCTTTAGCACTGCATTGTACAAGTGTGAATTAAATACTCTAGTATGGCACAGCCATATTTGGTCTTGTTTACATATTATATTAATAAAAAATGGTCGTCCTTTATACCTGAGCCTGTTGAAATCTTGTCTCAATTTCACCTATAAGCCACTCAAATGCCTCAGAAGATAATCTGAACTCCTCAGAAACACATTTGGTGCAGAGAGTGGAGCGCACAAGGCATTGGAAAAGCAAAGTTGCATTCTCATTGGCCTGTTTGCTCAGGTGGTCATCACCAGCCACAATGATGCACTTCTTCAAAAGATCATTTACACCTGTAAACATAAGCCATATGAATTTACAAAGACATTAAATTATAGTAATAAACATCCATTCATTACGTAGCACACAGTGTTTGGTTAATTACTGCTGTCCTCCATTTTATCCTATAAATGCTTATAAACAGTATCATTCAAGACCTCTCAATTCAATGTCACAGTAAGATTTATGCACTAATGCAATATTTTTCCTTTTGAATGACAACATAAAGCTTCCACAAAATACCAGAGATAAAAGCATGAATTACAATCGAAACTTCCATTGCCACAAATCTTAAAAAGGGTGTAATATTAAAATCCCTTCAGTCCTTGAAAAATATAGTAATCCCTGCCATACAGTCCTGTAGCACAAAGAGAAACATCACAATTACCTTGAATGACCCTTAGTGGACTCAGGTCAGTAGGTGCACGTTTATTAATATGAAAGATTTTCTGAACATTCCAAATCATACGCTGCAGGTTGCATGGCAATACCACTTTGCTCTCTCCACTGGGGAAGATTTGTCGTAGTGCTTCACGATCTTTCATGAGTTGTTCCCACTCTTTCTCTAACTCTGATATTACATCACTACTACCCATGAGTTCCTTCAGAATATCCTCATTGAAGATTCTACGTAAGTATCTGCAAGAAGCAACACATACTACATTAAAATGTTTAATATTTAATGGATTTCATTTATGCCACAATCTCAGCATTACTATTTTATGGCATGAAGTTTGCACCTTACTGCATTGAAATATTATTTCACAAATGCCTTATGTTGTTTGAAGTCTAATATAAGGTAGAATCCATATTTCATAATGATCATGTGAGAATTAACAAATAAAGAAAACTAGTATATGTGAATTTTGATGAAAACCACTACATTACTCACAAAATTTATGTCTATGCACAATTTCCACATTCCCACTTTCAGACAAAATATATTGGGGGGGAAAAATTAAATATCACATTTTTACTTCCCCTAAGGTTTAACCTTTTGTGTGTGTGTTAAATAGATATAAATGCAAGTAATGAATCAACAACACCTTACAGGTTACAGTTTTTCAATTCAATGAATTTTCACTTTAATAAACGGCTTTGAAGTCCAGTGTAAACACTACTATTTCTGGTCTCTGAATACAGTAAATGTGCAGCATATGGTACAATTAGACTTGGGTATGTCTTGTAAGTTTATGTCTCAAAATCAAAGCATTTTACATTTCTTCACAACTCCTAGCACTGTCTGAAACAAAAGCTGAGAAATTCTGTTCTTTCATAAAATACCTCCAGATATTGCTTTCTTCATGATCACAATCCGATCAATAAGGTGCTTACCTTTCATTTGTTGGATCAAATTTGAACTTCTTCTCGAAGGACTTATTTGACAATTTTATTGTGGGTAGATTCTGAAATTCAACAGTTTCTCCACAAAGACCATCTTCACCATACCGCAACTGAATCAACTGTCCCACTGAGTTACGAACTGTTCCATCATAATGAACCATGACAGACTCCATAGCCTTGATGAGACGACGCTGTATATATCCTGAAGAATATTATTTGCAATTGTGAGTCAAATGATCCTTATTCACATCTAGTTACAACAAACAAGTTAATAATTACTGTCATTAGGGATCTGCAAACAATTCAAAATTTTAATTCATTTTCAGTTTTCCAGTACTTGGAAGTAAACCACAATCAACCAGCCTAGCAGGGTACTAAAAAAAAAAGTCTAAACCCTTCAAAGCTCTTGCAGTTCTCTATCTAGGAATAATAAATCACTGATGGTATATAAAATTTGGTATCTTCATCACATTTTCAAGGGGTCTGAAGGGTCTTCTGGGGTGTGACGGCATGCAGTATGGTAGTACTAGACTATATGGCATCATTGTAATTAACCACTTACACAGTAATTCAAACATAATTTGTAGGCAAGTTTAAAATCTAGTTCCCTACCAAATTTCATGTACCTAGCTTATAATCATACAACCACCTCCCCTCCTCCCAAACCTTGCATGGCAGCAAACATTATTCTATAGTCTGCAAAGAAATATTACCTTAATAATGTTGCATAGTTTCTGAAGATGCCACATCATTTCGGCACCCTAAATAAAGCTGTGCTAGTGCCACTCCCACCTCACAAGTTATTAATGATTATATGAAATTTGGCTTGAAAAATATGTTATTTCAAATATTATTCAGTTCTACAGATTGTTATAAGAGTATTTTATGAGTTATACAAAATGTTATTACACTGAAGTCACATGTTGGGTTAGCCTCCTAATGGTATAATGTTAATACAAAGCTCTATGAAAACGGTTCACCTGCTTCACAGGTTAAAATGGAAGTGCATGCACCCCAGCCCTCCAGACATGTGTGTATGCAGGCACCACACTCAAAGAGCATATTGATCTCATATGCCTACTCTTGCTTTCAAGCTATCTAGACCTGCAATCACCAGAAGGTAATCTAAAAAGTACCGTGAGTTCTTCTGTGCAACAGAACTTACAATCAAACAACCTTGGGATTTCCGGCAGATACAATGGACTCCAAATTAACCAGGGGATGTGTTTAGAAAACCGACTGGTGTGTGCAGTGTCAAAAGACAAACACATACAAAATGGAGTTAATTTCAGGCCTGAATATGCATTTGGAAACTTAAGAAAGTTCTGTTTAATTTTTCTAGAGAGTTTAATTTCAGACTTCAATATGTACTTGGAGACTAGAGAATGCTTTCTATCTTTGGTTTCTCTGGCAGTCAATGACTCAAAGAAGGGAATAAGGCTAACAAGTAGGTAGCTGAAGTTCAGACATTCCATTTCTATCAGTAACTGTGCCTGCTTAGCAGTGAACTTACCTGTTTCAGCTGTCTTAACAGCTGTATCAATAAGACCTTCTCTTCCTCCCATAGCATGGAAAAAGAACTCTGAAGGAGTAAGCCCAGCCAGGTATGAGTTTTCTACAAAACCTCTTGATTCTGGACCATAGTCATCTTTGATGAAGTGGGGTAACGTCCGCTTCCGAAATCCAAAAGGAATACGTTTACCTTCAACGTTCTGTTGACCCACACAAGCAATAACCTGCAAAGTTAAGAATGTATGAAAAACAATGCCATTGCAAATATAATACATGAAAATCAACAATCCATCAGAACAAACACTCTTGCATAGTTTTTCATTAGATTTCATAACACCATTTATAAAGCTGTTTTATCATTACATGAAAAGTGTCTCAAATTAAATAGCAAAAATGTTGAATTGTGTGCAATAATGCATAACCTGGTAGCCATGGCTACACCTGGCAACAATGTAAAGTAAATCATCTGTTTACAGGAATAATTTTAAATCATCCCTGCACACCAAACTTAACGCTATATGGTCTGCATGAACAGTAATGGTTTAACAGCAAAAGGTAAAGTGCATGTGTGAGTTCAGAAATTTGAAGATGATATGAACAGTGTGGATGACATTCTGAAATCTGGTGAAGATGAATGTACAGTGACTCTGGAATACATACATACACTGTACATGCACTGTCATCAATGCTGTCATGACAAGTATTATAATAAACCAAAAGAATCAGCAACAGCAGGGCTAGGCAAAATGTGGATCATGTTTTTCTGGTGGACAACAAAGGAATTTTGAGTGGACTGTCGATACATAAGGGAACAGTGATATTTTTGTTACCTATAATTTAAAGAAGTTTCTGAACTCTGTTTCTGGAATATGATGAACAACAAAAAGCATCAAAATCTCAAAAAGTGTCCTATTAAAAACCCTTCTTCATCATACTTACCTTCATGAATCTGCCTTCCTGAAGAGGAATACCATCAGATTAAAATACTGCTTTTGACTCCTAACATCACTCCTCACTTTAATTAAGGTTTATAGTTCCCAATTACACACAGAAATTAAAAAAAAAAAAACAGGAGACTCAATGTAGTGTTAAAAAGAGTTTTTATTAACTAAACTAGTATCTCCATGCATCATTTCATATTAATACAGAATAATTTTCTGAAAATTTATTTATCATATATTGCTGCATAAATTCTGAAATAAAAATTATTGAGTTTCAAGTTGGAGTTAATCCATTAAAAAGTGTTTTTATTTTTTCAGTACGTACTAAGAAAACTGTAAAATTAAATAAAGTTGATCATGGCATTCTGGACAAGGACTTTCTGGGCAAATGTCTACCCAGCCCTGAGCCACAGAAATTGATTCAAGGTATGGTTCCATTCAGCACATTGTCCATGATGAACTGGGGTTTCAAAAAGCAAGCACAAGATGGGTACTCAACCAGAAACTTGAAGTGAAACCGAACAGACTGATTTCAGCTTCTGTCATAATACAAATCTGAAGATGTTCCCTTTTTCATGTGTTATCACAACCAGTAAAAAAGACTGTATCCACCATTTTGAACCTTAGAGTAACCTGAGCAGTACTGATTGCTGGTATCCAAGCCCCCCAGAAAGTATAAATTTCACATTCGCACTATTCTGACAAAATCATGTTAACATATTTCTGGGATATAAAAGGTGTTATTTAGAACACTACTACTCTGTCCAAAAAGTATTCGACCTTGGGCCGGGAAAACAAACTTCTGTATCTGGGTGGTTACAATACCCAATCCTCTTCAAAGTAGGCCCCTCGTGACTCCACACACTTAGCTAAGCGGTCCTTCCTTCTCTGAAAGCAATTCTGGAAGGCTTCTTTTGGAATGGCGTGCAGCTGCACCGTCACATTCTGTATGATGTCCTTGTGACTGTCAAAACAGGAGCCTTTTAGCAGTGTCTTCAATCTCGGGAATAGCCAGAAATCACAAGGAGCCATGTCAGGAGAGTAGTGAGCCTGGCGAACCTGCGGAATGGCATGCTTGGCCAGGAAACCCTGGATCAGGTGTGATGATTGAGCTGAGTCGTCATGATGCAGCTGTCAGTTACGTGTGTTCCACAGCTCCGGTCTGTGCTGAAGTGCATCATGAAGATGGCAGAGGACTTCTTGGTAGTACTCCTTATGGACAGTTTGGCCTAGTGGTGCGTACTCATGAGGCACAACACCCCAGTAATTGAAGAAACATTCAGTATCATCTTCACACTGCTCTGAACCTGTCATGCTTTTTTGGGCCTCGGGGATGTTGGATGCTTCCATTGTGAAGCCTGGGCCTTGGTTTCCGGGTCATATCCATACACCGACTTGTAATCAGCGATCACACTCTTCAGGAACTCAGGATCCCTGTTAGCGCATTCCAGCATGTCCTGGGCGACCTCAAGGCGGAGTTGTTGTTGCTCTGACGAAAGCAGTTAGGCACAAATTTTGCCGCCACTCTTTGCATGACCAAATCCTCAGTTAAAATTGTGTTTGTGGAACACTCTGCTGATCCCAACCTCATCAGCAACTTCATGGATGGTCAAATGACGGTCCTCCATGATCAGTGTCTGCGCTTTTTCAATGAAATCAGCATTTCAGCTCATTGACAGTCTCCTGGAATGCTGGTCACTGTCCACCGACACATGGCCATCTTTAAAGCAGTTGAACCACTCTTTAATTTGAGTGAGCCCCCTTGCATCGCTGAAAGCCTGCTGAATTTTGCAGATTGTTTCCGCTTGGGTCCCCAAGTTTCTGACAAAACTTGATGCAGTATCGCTGCTCCAAGCGTTCTGTCATCTTGAGTGAAACAAGAATGTGATGAACATGTGTTACACCACTTTGCTATCTGGCAGCCACAGACGCATCCGGCAGTGTTGCAAGTCAGCAAAAAATCACGCATGTGCATGAAAGTCCCTTCTACCACTACGCTCCATTTCATCACCCCTTTGGCCATTACTTACAGCAACAAAAAATAAAGTTGGATACTTTTTGGACAGCGGTGTATATGAAAAAATAACAACTGTGGGAACTCCACTTCTTATTTACTCATTTGAAGTCTGGCATCTGGTTCAGTGAGTAAGGTTAGTTCTTTCAAAAGGACCCAACAGAATGGGTGTTTCAAACAACTCACCAGAGGACAGAAACAAACCCAGTTTCCCAAACGTGTTCTTTTGTGCCTTCTAGAATAGCAGACCATGAACAATTCCAAAAACCCAGTAATCCTCAACATAAAATCTGTCAACATTTGACATTGTTATTGTGGCATTCTTGCTGGGACCAATGATAAAGCATAAAATGGGGAAATATGCAAAATCTGAAAATACAAAATCAAAACTTCACTGTATTTTCATTGATGGAAAAATTATTTGTGTGGGCAGAACATTACCTGTGAGATGTTAATGTTTGACCCCTTTGATCCAGACACCACCATAGCTTTCAAGTTGTTGTATTCTGTTAGAGATTTCTTCGCTGAGCCTCCTGTCTTATCTCGAGCATCATTCAGAATGCGGTTCACCTACAAAAGAAAGCAAGGTAAAATCGAAATTTTCATGGACCTCAGATGGAAAAGAAGAAACTTATTAATCTGTCATTCCCATAACAACATAAACTTCAGTACACATGAATGGAAGTTTGACACACCTTCAACTACACTAGAGAGGTGCCTTTGAACAACAACACATAGTTTTAGCTATAAGGGACTGTAAATTCCACAACATTATAAACATCATTTTTGTATCATTTCTATATAACATTTAAACTTTCTTCAGTCAAAGCCCTGAAGTGTAATGCATGTAAGTCATTAAGTTTTCCACAAATGAACAGGTTTGGAAATATATGCACACAACAATTCTTGCATGTTCACATCTTGTTTAAAAGAAGTGTTTCAAGCATAAAATGTACTTCAATTTTCTCTACAGTCTTTCAAGACAATGGTGTATTACATGAAGCATTACTGCCTTTTATTAATTGTCCATCACCTGATGTTTAAAAAAATACAAACAGTGAATCTGCTCCCAGTCTCATGCAGGGGTGCATATTCAATTAGGTTTGAAATAAAGAGCTCTTTCAGTCTGACCTAAATGAGCAGGAACCTTTCACCTGAAGAGCACATTCAGCTACTTAAACAATGAGTTTCTGTGTTGCAGAATAATGGATATCAAATGTGCATACAGCCATGCAAAATGTACTGCTGTGTACAAATTAAATATCTAATCTGCATGAGCCTGATAGTGCTAGGTGAACTTTTCGATCTGATGTGCATTTTACAATAGAAAGTGCCCATTCGTCACTTCCTGCACTAGGTATATCTGGCTGCTTAGCTACAACAAGGACACTGCAACTTTCAACTCAGAATCTCCTAGGACTTTAAATCTTTCTTTCAAAACACAGTCACATACATAAAAGTATGTCACGTTACCTACAACAAGGGAAGAAAAATAAGAACTGTTTGTAATGAAGTATGTTTAGAATTAAGGATCTAATTCGTTTCTTAAATACTTGTTTTATCCCATTCTGATAAACATTTTATATTAAAATCTGAATTTGAAAATAGATGGTCATACATAATTGTTTTTTCCCCAAACACTCATAACATGTAACCCGTACTTCACATGATATTTTGCTTCACCTGATTCTCAAAAGTCTGCCTCAGAGTGTTGCCAGGTGTAGGCTCAAGTTCCATGTTGTGTGCTTTTTGGATAACTTCTATCACATCCTCCTTAGCTTTCTTGATAGCTTTCTGAATTTCTAAGTATGTCTGGGGATCAGCAATGGTGTCTCCAATACCAATAGAGTGACCTGAAAGGCAATTCGATCAACTTAAATATGATAACAGCTGAATTTATGAAGTGTCATACATAATGACTCTGAATAATAAAATTCGGAAAATTCAAGATTTCAGTTCTAGCTATAGAAAAATGTCAAATTATCCAAATTCATTCTATTTCACATTAATTTAATCATTCATTAACAACTGGTATTCTTGAAACTGGAAGCATAAATCTATATGTACAATGTAATAAATGGCAGTGCTCTAAACAACAGAATATTTTGTGTGTGTCTATATATATATGAAATTAGGTATGAAATTAGGTATGAAAATTTCATGTTTTTTTACCTTCAAGAAGCAACCAATTGTTCACAACAGTCTGAATGTTTCCATAGAACTGACCACATACTTCATGACCTAACTCCAACATACAGATGTGCAGCAAGGATCCAGCAGATGTTCCAAGGGTTTTCTTGCACAAAATACCCATGACAAGTTCACCATGTTCTACCATAACCTGCAACCATTTCAATTTCAGTACTCCTCTCAAGTAACAGCATAACACTAAACTGGTTCAAAATTTATAAATTATATGACATTCATATTTAAACAACTCGGAACTATAATGAGGCCATGTGATAGCATGGTTGAGGCACAGGGTGAATTCCTGAAGATGTCACTGGATTGTTCCATTGACCTAATCCTTTTAGCCACATCATAGCCCTGGGTCCTGACTCAGCCTCTAACAAAAATGAGTACCAAATATATATTCCTGGGGGAGAAGGGCGAATGGTAGCCTTGACATCTCACAACACTATGGGCCTGCATGGTCTGTTACAGGAATACCTTTATCTTACCTATAATGGTAATAACCTTAGTGTCCCCTGGAGAAATCCATTTGAATGGACCATCATCTTCTTCATCTGGATGTGTTGAATGTGTTCGGATCATGTTTACATTTCCTGGGATAATAAGGGAGAAAACCTGTTTTCCTGGAAGAAAAAGAGAAATAATACTCAATTCAGTAAGAGCTTCTTGCCACATGGAAGCCAAGGATTCATTACGGACGCAATAAAAGCTTACAAATTTAACACGTATTAAGATAAAAAAAACTTTATGCCAATACAATTTTACGAATAGGAAAACTACAGACAATAAGACAATCTGAATTGCACCAACAATGTATTATGTATGCACACTATGTTTTATGTTGATTTAAGTGTTACTGGGATTCATACAAGTTTCTACATTACACACGTATAACACAGCTGTTACATTTACTCATAGAACACATGTTATGGTAGTGGCACACAAACTGTACACAGAATTGTAACTCCTTTATTTTGTAAGCTAATCAGATAAACATGTTTAAGATCCCACATTCATTATAAAAATAACTGTCCTTACATCATATGTAGACAGGATCAGAAGTGTCTGTAATTCCTGTGCCTATAATATTACACAGGCAGAAGAGGTCTCATATCATTATGTTAATCACAATGCCACAAACTAAAACTGTGAAGTGAATTTTACATATATGTACTCATGAAGAAAAGAAATGTCGTTTGTTTGCTTTGATTTCATATATACCGTATTTCCTCTCCTTCAGTATTGTAAACAATATTGAAGAATTTCACTGACACAACCTTCCTATTTTGGTTTTTGACAAGCTACTGACTTCACAGAAATGTATTATTTCAAGCTTCATATTCAAGTCTAAGCTCTCCCATTTTGTTGCCATAATTACAGTTTTTCAAAACTTTGCATTCAAAGCCAACTGAAACAGTGTACAACCCAACTGAGGCCAGTGGAAGGGGAAACCCGTGTGACAAGCAGAGGAAGATAATGTAAATCAAGCAGAACTTAAAAAAGCCAAGCAACACAATACAAATGAAACAAGCTCCTGGAAATTCTAAGGACAACACAAGATGCACATATCTCAATGGTTAAAAGCTGGAGTAGATTAGATGCTCTCAGATTCTGGAAGGTAATCTTTCATCTAGAGAGAAGCAGAATGGACAGCATGGGTTAAAAGAACCTTCAGAAACTGTTAGTCATAAATAATTTCAGCAGTAAAATCTACAAATACTGTTGGAGTAAAAAGTTATGGGAAAACATCAGTGTAACATGCCAAACCGTTGTTAGGCAATGGGATGTGGAACAGACTCTTGATAAACTGCTGGTTGCCAAGTTACGCAACAGTGGAACAAGGTTATGCAACAATAAGGAAAGCAGTGTTTCTCTGTGCCGTGCCGTGCTGAGCCGAGCCACACTGGTTGCTACGCAGCAGTAAACAACTCTCGGCAGCGTTGCCAAGCAACACCTCTGTAAACATGGTTGTCGCGCAACAGTGAAGCAAGCTGCATTTTTCGCCTGTCAGATTGAGGGCTTATAAGAGAAACTGGAATAACTAAGGAGCCAGTATGAGTATTCAGCAGAAGAGAAGTCAGTCAAGCAAGAGAGCAGCAGGAGGAAGAAGAACTGAACGCATGATAGATTTTCTGTCTGATGATCAGTAATAGTGGTGATAACTGAGAAGTCACTGGGTATTGGGAGTGTGTAATTCAGTGACACTTGTATAGCTCCCGTGTTATACTTTAAATAAATGAAGACTACTGAAGACAGAATGAAGAGATTAGTGTGCAGGGTTTGTAAATTGTGTAAACGCGCAACAGCGTTATAATTAATTGTACACTCAACTCTTGATTATCCGGGATAATAGTGGCGATGGAAATCACGATTAAACGAAAACCCGGTTAAGACAAATTTTATTAAAAGCAGTACTGTAATACTGTACCTTCATAATACTACAGGCCTACCTGTATTTAAATTTATTCAACCTCATTTTTATGTCATCTCATGGCATATTTAATACTTTTTTTACATTACACTGAAGTATGAATTAGTTATTTCAATCACAGTCTTCAACAACATCCAACACTTTTTTACGAATATTCACACTTAACACTTAAACAAATTTAATGTTTTCATTTACTTTTTCGGGGCATTTTCCTTTTTCTGTTGAATACTTAACACAACACGCTTTGTTTTACACAGTGATATTTTGCTAACGCACTTGAAGATCGATACAAAGAAACTAACTGGGGTGGTGTATCTGTCCTTGAAACTTTCCACAAATCCTTGCATTCTTTCACCCCTACCCTAGAACATTGTGTTAGCATAACGGGACCAAAAATGCAGAGCTTGGTTCACACTAGTGCGAAAGTAGTGTTACAGCTCACCATGTGAAACAGGAGTGAATGAATATTAAACAACATATAAGCCTCAAAAAAACCCCGGTAGCCCCAGTTAAGCCATAAACCGGTTTATCCGCCCCCAGATAATCACGAGGTGAGTGTAGTTACAACTTGTAGGTTGTTAATAATACCAATTAACAATCCAAACGGTGTCCACAGTATTTTTTTTATTGCTAGTGGGGTAGGACTAAGTCCCTTGTACTGTGGCCACTTCTGGCTTATTGTACCAGCCTCAGATGATAGGTGAGGGTGATTGTGGAGCAATTGGTGGAATGAAGATTGGCAGGGGAACCGAAGTACTCAGAGAAAACCTGCCCCAGCACCACCTGGTCCACCACAAATCCCACTTGACCAGACCCGGGATCAAACCCAGTCCACCGCGGTGGGAAGCCGGTGACTAACCGCTTGAGCTATGGCGCTGCCGACGTCCACAGTACCCCGAACACATTACATCATTATGGTGTTGGAGAAACCCCCTTTTTGTACAAGTTCCCATATATGTAACAATAAAAAACCTGACTGTTCCAATGGTTTTCATTGTCATAACGAAGTTCTTGTTATAAGCTATACTTGCTCTACTGTGGTTTCATTGTATATGCTTTGCACCTAATTTCACAGTATCACTTTTGGCATTCAACCACACATAGTGAACTTCATTTAGTATCTTCATTCTTATTTGAAATTAAATTATACCTAATAATCCAAGACTGCTCTTCAATCTCCTTACCTAACTAGCAAACTCTCCATCATAAACTTTAAAAAGTAAACAGTAATACTTTTATGTTCATGTATAACCTGTTACAAAACCTGATGGCTTATCACTGTGACAGAAGCTGAACAAATTGAACACTGTTGGCCAAACATTTTCTAGTTCCACAGTATCACTACACTACTTCAAACTGTTAAGATGCAGTACAGTATTCATATCTAATTTAATGTTTCATAAATCAATAAAGCATTCTGGGCTGAGCTCACACACCTTGATTTACTGTTACATACATTACTAGTATAACAGATCAATTACTCTGTTATTGTTGTTACTTCATTTTAGTTCATGACACATTATGTAAGCACATATTCTGTACATGTTAAAACTTGTCACATGTAACCTCAAAGTCTCACACCATTGACAACTAATTTACCATGAGTTACATTCATAACTAGGCCGCGCCATAGCTGAAGCGGTTGGTCGCTGGCTTCCCACCGCGGTGGCCCAGGTTCGATCCCGGGTCTGGTCAAGTGGGATTTGTGGAGGAAAAAGTGGCACTGGGACGGGTTTTCTCCGAGTACTTTGGTTTCCCCTGCCATCTTCATTCCACCAAATTCTCCATCATCATAATCACCTGGGGGAGGCTACAAATAGGCCAATCAGTGGCCACTGTGCCGAGTAGACACAGTTGGACTCCACCCCCCTACTCAGCAAAAATTACATTCATGACTAAAACACTCTATATGGATAATAAAGTAATGCAAAGATATGCAGACTGCCATACATAGATGATATACTATGTCCACACACTGCTATCATACTCCATTGGCTTAAAAGAGACAATTTCATCCTTATTCAGTACTGCTACACATAAACCAGGTGCCAATAATATTTTCACATTTTCCATTAATGCCTTAGATCTTTCTTAGCAAGTGTATTCATATGTACCAGCCACATTCATTATTCTCTATCAGGGGTTGTTTCTCAAGTTAGTTACTTTACTGAATGGCCTGAAAAACAAGCCCCTATAAGTTCATAACAAAATGTTTAAATTGTGGCTTATGACCATTCAACCTTATGCCTGCTTGCTTACACTTGCATTAACTTACCTGTCCACAAAGGTTTTGGTTTCATTATTGCTGGCTGTGGCATTTTTCCATCCCAAATGGGAAGAAACATCAAGAGATTCATCATTTGTTCCTAAAAGGATTAAGGCAAAGCAATGAATATGATAAATTTTAGGATATCAAATGTATTTTGATTCAGCACTATTCTGTATACACATTTTTGTATGAAGTAAATACTATGTTCAGAACGGAAAATCTTAAATCTGTTCTACTGTGATCCTGCAAGCTTTAAAATACAAGTATTCTGCTTCTTATTATGTTAAGTCTTCAATTTTATTATACATTGTACATTTAGCAGAGTCTGACATTTCCATTTTCTCCACAAACTACATCACTGATTATCTTCCAAATTTTCTAATGATATGGTGATATCAAATGGTACCAATTAACTTAATAACACTGTCATTTTGATTAGTCTCATAGTGTCCATGATAAATGGCACAGAAAATGAGAACAGAATTTGTAAATACAGAATCTGGAAGGACACAGCCATGCATATATTTAGGTAATAACCAGTATTTGCAGAATAAAGTCACAAAACTTGTCAATCAGGTTGACTGGTTGTTTGGCTGAGATCTTAATGAGGAACCTGCAACATAAGTATAGGTGATAACCAAAAGACTCTTACGTCTTGGGCTCAGGCAGTCATTAAGTATAAAACATAATCCCAAACAATATACAGTAAAACTTGGTTATAGCAACATCGGTTTCTGCGACACCTTGTCTGTTACGTCAAATATTCAATGGTACGAACTAATTCCTCATAAAGCAACTGTTTTTATACCTTGCTTAGTACGACATGCACAAATGCATCAACCTCGTATGTAACGTCATTTTCATTCCTGAATTTCTCTGATATCGTGGGAAAGTTCGATGTGTCTGCCCACCCTCACTTTCTCTACTTGCTGATGTGACTGTCCTGGAAGAATACGACAACGGGCTGCAAGAGGAGCGTGGGTTTTATGCGAAAACAAGGGTGTGGGGTGGGACTGCGTGAACAGTGCAAGAGGACGCAGCAGGTTGTTAACTGCATTCCTTTCCTAGAATCTCGTCTAACAGGGCCTCACATTGTCTACTTACCCTATAGTGTTCCTGCCTAAACCCAGAGAAGTGCAGTAGCGAAAACATGGCAATGAAAAGGAAAGTTTTAAGCATTGAAGAGAAAGTTAAAGTGATTCGTGAAATAGAAAATGGAAGGAAAAAAGCTGATGTATGCCGCAAATTTGGTTTAGTGAATTCTACAGTACAAACGATATGGAGAATCCATATTAATTCCACGTTAATGTTACGTTAGTCTGTACTTAACTACGTAATTCACTAAAAAATGCAACATTTTAACTCGGTTTTTGGTAGATTTTTACGTGACTAACATAAGGCTACTGTGGAAGTGCCCATTTCGGTTACAACGACATTCGTTTATAACGACACTATTTTTAGGTCCCTTTGATGACGTTATAACCAAGTTCTACTGTAGTTTTACCAGCAGGTTAGTGTAGTGATAATGTACCTCTCTCATACTTGGGAGGTACTCTGTTTGAATCTCAGCCTGGAAGCTGGCTATCCTGACCGATTTTTCGTAGTTTCCCTCAGTCCCTCTGGGCAGTGCTGGGATAGTACTTTGATGAGGCCACAACTGTTTCCTTCCAAATAACTTTTAATTCATCAATCATCCCATCATTCAATGCTGCACAGCCCAATATGCTGACTGATTCATAAAATGTCCTCTCACAAAAATTGTTTTTGTGTCCTCAAATGCTTTAAGAATCTGTTTTCATCTCAACGGAAAAATTAACGAGGTTTATGATAATACTAATAAAATAAAAAAAGTCAGTCACAAAATACAGCACAACCCCCAACTCAAGGTATGTTTCTGGGGCAGTGGATGTAAACACTGAAATGATGAAATCTTACAGGAAGGAAATTTAATACTGTGTTACTGATTGGTGATCAGCAGCCTCCATAGTCTAGGGGTAATGTTCCCACCTCATGACTCAAGGTACGCAGGTTCAAACCCGGCAGAGGTCGTGGAATTTTTAAGGGCGGAAAAATTCAGGGAACAAGTCCTCCGGGAGGGACTTTAAGCCGTGTGTCCTGTGTCGTAGATTTACAGCACGTAAAAGATCCTCATGTCTCTAGGAGACCGCTGAGCAAAATTAGGCAAGAATTTCCCGCCCAAGTAGTTTCCANAATGCCTCTGGTAGATGGGCGAAGGATCAAGGTACCAAGGGCCGACCTCGTTGGCTGAATGGGTGTGACAGCACACACCAATACCGGTAGGGTATGGCAACTGGTAGAATATCAAAGGGGGACGTACAACAGACTATTAGTCGTAGTGCATGGGGAAACCGACCCCCTCCAATAATAATAACAATAATAATAATAACAACAATAATAATAATAATAGTAATAATAATAATAATACTGGCTGGGGATTACTGAAACTCAACATTTAAAAGTGGGAAGATCTAAAATGCAGGAAATTGGACATTACATGAGGGTTTCACTGTAATTATGGATTCCAAATATAATTTCATACCTTCTCAAGGAAGACATCTCGCTTTGTCATCTTCCTAACAGCTGTAAGTGTGTCCTGCACAATACCCATTACAGGTTTGTTGGCCTGTGGTGTAATGATCTGGCGTGGTGTTACATGTATATTCTCCACCTCGGCTCGTGTCTCCATTGATTGTGGAACATGAAGATTCATTTCATCACCATCAAAGTCAGCATTGTATGGCGATGTGCAGCTACAAAGGAAGGATAAAATTTGTCAGAGACAAAAATTTGTTTACTCACAACAGAATTCTGTACTAACTGCAATTTGTTAACATAAAAATTATTTTCCTGTCTGTGTAGCTTGAGCGTAATAGCTTACCAAAGCATCCTGGCCTATTTAAGATCAACCACAACTAAAGTCTTTGGCCAAAATGATAAGAATAACAGTATTTTAAACTATTTTTCCAACTACCTGAGATTCATCCTGAATGTTGACCAAGGCAAAACTTTGACCCTGTGGCCCATCATGGACATTTTGTGTAGTGTTGGCTGACGGTTGAATATAACCAAGTCACCATCACGGATGTGTCGTTCTACTTTATAACCACACTGCAGGTGAAGATCAGATGATTTTGGATGAAAACGTAGATCAATTCGTTCACCATTGTCTCGCACAATATATTTTGCTCCTGGGTACTGCGAGTTTCCTCTGCGCACCAACTCCTGCATTCTGTATTAAAGGAAAACATCATGACTGAAAAAAATAGCTTTATCTTCTGGCTCTTTCTCTCACCATACATATGCAGCATGAAGATTCCTGCACTATATATTACAAAAGTATCAATCTCTAAGTCAACTTACTTGTCAATATTGAACGGCGTCACAATTTCTGGAAATGTCATGTTCTGTGCAATAGATCGAGGAACTCCGACCTGGTCAATACGGAGATTTGGATCAGGTGTAATTACAGTTCGGGCAGAGAAGTCAACTCGTTTCCCCATCAAGTTACCACGGATACGGCCTTCCTTTCCCTTTAGACGTGCCTTGATTGCTTTCAATGGTTTTCCCGATTTTTGCATTGCTCTGAATTACAAAGGATAACACATCAGACAATACAACAAAGCATCCCGCAGAATTCTCAAACACACAAAGTAAAATAAGTTCTATCAAACACACAGTTTTATATAAAACAACTAATTCAGCAGCAAGATGTTATAGGTCATTTCCAATGAGGATAAAAATTTAATTTATTTCACGCCTTCAGCGGTTCACCAGGTCAACACACTGATTTGCTCAGATGTCACAATGGTGATTCTGGGCATTCAACTTTACAGCTGTAGGCTTATGAGGCAGAGACCACAATCACACCTCTTAACATTACATCTCACCTCTTGGACCACTGTGGTTCCAAGGCAAAGTCAATATGATAGAAGTATTTCTTCAAGATCTAAAAAGGTTTCATTATTTATCTCAATTTTAAAAAAACATTTATCATTATACTTTGTTATATTTTAATTATAAATTAACAATATTACAAACATGAATTCATCCAAACTATTTTACAGTGATGTTCTTAATAATCAACAAAAGAATCCTACCAACTAAAATTTCATCCTGCTTGTTCACAGTACAATCATCTCCTCAAACCACTTACTTCCTGTAAATTTACAGTATGTTCTAGCCATTTAAACAGTAGCCAATTACACATTCACTGTGAAATAACACTCCAGTAATTCCCTCAAAATAAGTACTGAACTATAAATCTCCCAAGCAACAGATTAGAGGGAACACTTCCTCACCAGTCTACTCTGTTTCCTGCATTCAGTAATGAAAAACCAATGTTTTGCTGAGTTGACCTCAGAACTTTTAACCAAGTATTTGCTATCCAGTCTATATGATTTTTTTCCCCATGTTAGCTGTTTGGGACAAAACAATGGTTTGCCCATTTCTCCCAGGTCTTCTGACATGACTCATTTCATGAAGTTCATACAACACCACTTCTCCTTTGCTAAGCTTTCATCATCATTCATTTTACTTACTCTCTCCACTATAAGCTGCATCTCTCAATATCTACCACTATGTTCCTTGCTCCTGTTTCATACTTATTATTTTCTAATCATTGCACAAAGTCAAGTATGTATGCATTAACTGCTTACCAACCTTGGCAAACCTGGCATGTCATTATCAACAAGTGTAGCCACATGGAACTGAAGCATTTTTATGTTTTCTGAGATGACATGCGCTGCAGCTCCTGCTTGCTCATTTCTTATTAATTCATTGTTTGCTTTTATAATGTCTGCAAGTTTATGGGTCAAATCATCCTAAAACAATCATCATTCAGCAATATGAAACACTTCATATGTACAAAAATGACAAACACATGAAATCTGAATGTACATTGTTTCTGCTACTACTTGTGAACATATATACAAAACTCCCTTCCCCTTCTCAATTTCTCCCTCAGAAAAAAATTACAGCCAGTAATAGCACACATGAAGTTACCCTCTTCACACAGAGTTTCTTCTGTAACTTACTGTAGGCATCATCTGGACTTGTGGTTAGTGTATAAATCATGGTAACATCTGTGCATTGTGTGCACGAGAATTTATTTAAACAGTGTGATACTACTAAAAAGAAGTCCAATTTTGGACCATACTGTGTTACTCGTTAAGAGCTACAGCTAAGAACTGATGATATAAACTTGACAGCCATGAGCACACAGCCTTTGGTTTGATGCATATCAAAAGCTTAGCTCAGAGTACCATGGTGAAATATTTAAGTATCACTGATAATAAAGAAATCATTTCTGATTTTGAAGAAAAATTTACCCCAGAGAACTCTGATCTGAATCTACACGATTCACTAAAGCAATACTACACATGCCTTTTGCTACATTCATTGCAATTTTTACATCTAAAATCCAAACATTTTTTATATATGTTTAAATGCCAATGTACACCCACATTATAAAAATATTAATGTCCACACTGCTCAGAGGATGAACCTGATGCACTGAACACACCAAATTAAATGAGTATTACAACTGCCTCCACAGTGTTCAACAATAATGTAATGTATGAATGCAGTAATTTTTTTATCTGCTTTAACAGTACTGAACACATACTAAGAAATTCATATGCATATATATAAAATATAATTCATCAATACTATAAATTTTAGCTGGTTTAACAATACTATACAAATAACAAGAAATATAACCATTTTAACATACCTGATTTCTTGCTGAGCCATACATGACGACAGCAGGCCGAACTGACAAGGGTGGAACGGGCAAAACTGTTACTATCATCCAGTCGGGTCGAGCAAACTTTGGATCCATTCCCAAGATGTAACATTCTTCATCTGTTATGTGCCTGAGAATCTCCCACACCCTTTCAGCATTCAAACTTATTTTCTTTTCTTGCGAATCTTCATTCACATGCTTCCACTCAGCAGTCAGGTCAAGCCCTGTTCTTCTAATGTTTGGTTGGTAACGACCACAGCCTCCATGTCCTTGTTTGCGAGGCTATTGACCAAATAACTTAAAGCTGTACATATTTCATCAATTTTAGCCACTGGCACATTGCATTTCAGTACTCCACAAATAAACCAACAGAGATATGAACATGTTCCAATTTTCATTACAAATGAAAAATGGACTGTTTACTAGAACATATTCATAGCCCTGCAACTATTCTTTACTCTTTATATCAAATGTCAAAGTTGGGCAGGTAACACTCCAGAATTGTATTTGGAAGGCTAGAAGTAAATATCTCTTGTGCAGACACATGCTGCAACAGTTGGTACATGTAACTTTAAAATTTCAAACATTTCCAGAGAATTTTGTGCAATGTTGAATATGACATGTTTGCCAGACACCATGCCTGGTTGATTTGCATGGACTGTGAAAGAAAGCTACTCAAACTTCAGCCTAGTTTTAGCGCCTAGTATCCTAAGGTTTCTTTTTTCCTTTACAAATCCAGCCAGTGTGATCAAACAATTCATTCTGCTTGTAATATAACAATTCTGCTGGTGGTTCCCTTCTAAACACTATGCAAAATCTCCACTGCACTATAACTGCAGGCCAAGACTTGTGAAATCACTGCATATATGTACAATTTTCTGCTTGAGATGCCATACTTACAGCTGTGAAAGTTGTAAGATGGAAAGATTTAAAAACTAAATGACATAAACTATAAACTTGAACATATAACCTACTCAAATGCATTGAGTTTTCATTTCTATGTGTCTCAATTCATTACCACTGCTACAGTAAAATTGTATTAAATTTCATGCGTATACTCTGTATTTCATATGTAACTCCACAAATCAAATACCTTTGCCTTCATTCAATCAAAGAGAATAATGTAAGATTTGAGATTTTCATGGTGGTGACTATGAAGAATGCCGCCTTCTGGGATGTGGCACCATGTAGATCTTGTGTGAACTGACATTTCAAAGGAACGCTGGTTCACACTAGATCTACATGGTGCCACATCACAGGAGACGGCATTCTTCAAAGAGAATAATGCTTGAAGAAGCCATATTTTATATTCCATACCTCATCAGCAATTTAAACAATTGTTTACTATTTTTAGAATAAATTTATCTTTAAATACCTCTCTGACTGACTTTTAACAATTCTTAAGTATTTTGATATTTTACACATTGTATGGTAACCATCAGCCTTATGTCTGCTGGACAGCTGAAATACAAGTCCTGGCTTGCTGAACATGTTCATAAATGGAGTAGTTATATATCAGAAAGAACACATTTGAGTAACTAGAGTGATCCTTAACCAAAGAAACAATTCTAATACAGGTAGTACACATCTTTATGTAAACTGGAAGAAAGAGTACCTTTCTGTTGTTGTTCACAAATGACTCTCAGTTCAGTTTAGCCAAATGAAACACAAAGGAACAGCAGATGCTCTAGAATACAGAAGGAAGATTTAAGAAGTACTAAAACTGTGCACATTACACTTACCTGCTGGTTGTTTGGATCATCAGGATTCTCTTTGTGAATATCCATTTCATCACCTCCCTCACAAATATTTTTGCCTTTGCAAAGATCATATACAAACGTCAGACGTTTCCTGGGTTGGCCTTTTGATTTCATCACAACTTCTTTGATCTTAGGGTTTGCCTGAAAATTAAGAAACCCAATCATCTTCCTGAATGAGAAATCATGCAGCAACCTGCAAATACTTATTTTCTGCACTTGGCAGGGTGGCTGTCTTTGGTGGGGACATATCATAGACCAGGGATGCATTGAGACACAGCTTTGGAGCACCTCCTTGTGGTCCTGCTGGGCAACGACAGTCCTGGGTGGTCTACATTAGTGTGAACCTCCGGGGCTGGCGGCCGAATTTCCATAAAGGGCAATGGCCATTTGACCAGAGCCTCCCATGCGGCGGCATAATGACTCTTGGGTTTCATTACGATGTACCCAGGACGAATGTGGGAGAGCACTCCTATGGGGGTAGCTACAGCTATTTGAGTTGTCTCCCTAGAGTACCGACAAGGTGCCGCAAGCCTTAGGGCTCAACACTCTAAAATGGTTTCAACCAACCCATGTGGAGAGGCGAGAATGGGGGAGCTTTGAAGCAACTTCCAGAGGCGGTAAGTTCGTGTAGGTTGCCCAGGTTGTAACCTCATGACAACTAGTATCACACTCCCAGTTATCTGGGATATCCCCCTCCCCCCAAACATGCACTCTTGGTCCTGGAGACTTGTGAGGGTTATACTTATGAAGAACCAACCGCCTAAGCCAAGGTGTGAGGCATCATGCCGAGGGCTGCATGGCACTGGGGTGGTTACTGGCCACTGTCGTGAACGATCCCCTCGGGGCACCAGTCAGCACCCCGTTGTATTTATGCCTTCCACCCATATGGGGCTCTGCGGGTGGTGACCTTTTAAATCCCCATTACTCGTGGGACCAAAATGAAAAAAGGACCAAACGAAAAAACCGGTCGTAAGGATCTTAAACTGAAGAGGGACCCCCCCCCCTTTAAGGGGATCCCTATGAGAAATGCTTCGGCAGGGGGCTGGAAGCTCTGGTGAACCATTAAGGGTCTCAGCAGCAACCGGCGAACCTACTGTTGCAGTCTTAGCCAAAGGCAGGGATGAACCAATGATTCAAAACCTACCAGAGGCAAAACCAAAAAATTGGAAGAGATCATGAGATTTCTCCAAATCAACCTACACCACAGCAAAGCTGCCACGGCAGCTCTGTGTCAACATCTAGCTGAGGGTAAGGCTGACATAGCACTTATTCAGGAACCTTGGTTATACAAGGGTCGAATAAGGGGCTTAAATAATACAGGGGGAACAGTTTACTCTGTTGTACCCAGTAATAATGCAAGATCTTGTGTTTATATCAGGAATCATGTTAATGCCTTTCCTTGAGCTCTGTTCTAGGGATGCAACAGTGGTAAGGATAGCATACCCATATAGAGGAGGCAGCAAGGAGCTGATTGTTGCTTCAGTCTACCTTCCATATGAAGCAGATGAACCTCCACCAACTAAGGAGATGAGGGACATCACAGACTACTGCTGTAGCAGGAAGAAGCAACTCATTATTGGGTATGATGCCGTGCACCACATCTTGTGGGGGCGCACCGGCACTAACCCAAGGGGAGAGAGCCTTATGGAATTTCTGGTGAGTTTGAACCTCAATATTCTAAACTATGTTAATGAACCTACCTTTGTAGTTTGCAATAGGCAGGAGGTTATCAACTTGATACTAGGACCAATAAAATAGGAAACCTGATCAGTAATTGGCATGTATCTGATGAGCCGTCCCTATCGGATCACAGATATATATGCTTTCAAATAAGCAGCATTACAGTAGATCAAGCTACTTATAGGAATCCTAAGAGAACCAATTGGGAGTCTTACAAAGACGATCTAAAGGTAAATCTAGAGACCATCTCACGAAATATACGCACAATAAAGGATGCTGATCGGGCCACTGACCAGTTGCAACGGGCTATTATCTCGTCCTTTAATAGGAATTGTCCGGCTAGGCCCACTCGCGAACCAAGAGTGCTTTGGTGGAATAAACAGCTGAATGGGCTTAGAACCAAAACGAGAAGGCTGTTTAATACAGCTAAAAGAACAGGGCAGTGGGACACCTACAAGGAAGCCCTTACCTGTTAGAACAAAGAAATAAGAAAAGTCAAGCGATCCTCATGGAGGAGGCACTGCCAGGAGATCAATGATGTACCAGGCAGTGGCAGACTCATGAGGATCATGGCAAAACAGGGAACCAACAAGGTTAGCACAATTAACCTGCCTAACAGACAGTATACTTAAACAGGAAGGGAAATGCTGAATGAATTATTCAGGGTCCACTTTCCTGATTCAAAATTGATTGACAGTTTGGACGAAGGGCAGGGTCAGCAGAACCTGGATACTTGCCAAAGCAAGATGAACAGGGCAGACTGGAACCTGGCCAAAGTCATAATTAACCAATCAAAGTTAAGATGGGCTTTGGACACTTTTAAACCATTTAAATCAGCAGGAACAGATGGAATTGTACCTGCACTTTTGCAGCATGGGGCAGAACTTTTTGTTGCACACCTATGCTGCATATATAGAGCCCGCTTGGCATATGGTTTCATCCCCACAGCCTGGAGGCAAGTTAAGGTGACATTTTTTCCAAAGCCCGGGAAACTTGATTATACCGAGGCTAATGCTTATCGCCCTATCAGCCTGTAGTCTTTCCTTTTGAAAATGATGGAGAAACTAGTGGATAGGCATATTAGGGGCGGGGCATTGAGAACTTATCCTCTACACCGAAATCAACATGCCTACTAAACAGGTAAATCTACCGAAAGTACACTACACAATGTGGTAACACACATAGAAAGTGCAATTGAACACAAGGATATTGCCTTTGGAGCATTCCTTGATATAGAGGGAGCCTTTGATAGAACCTCATTTGATGTAATCAAACAAGCTGCTGGAAGGCATGGCATAGAGCCTGCAATATGCAGATGGATCAATGCTATGCTGAAAAAGAGAACCATAGCTGCTACATTATCGGGAGAGACCCTGGGGGCGTCCGTGGCTAGCGGATGTATGCAGGGGGGCGTACTCTCGCCTCTGCTGTGGAGTCTGGTCGTCGACGATCTCCTGTGGGGACTTAATGATGATGGGTATTATACAGTAGGATATGCTGATGACATAGCAATCCTCATAAATGGAAAATTCCTTTCGACCGTATCAGAGCGTCTTCAATCAGCTCTGTACATGGTCCAATGATGGTGTGAAAGAACAGGTCTTTCTATCAATTCCAACAAGACGGTAGTTATACCGTTTACTAGGAAGAGAAATATAAAGGGTCTTAAGGAACCGACTCTCTTCAATAAGACAATCCAGCTCTCCAGCGATGTCAAGTACCTTGGACTAGTATTAGACAAGGGACTGACATGGAGAAAGCAGCTGGACAAAGTTATTAACAAACCCTATAAGGCTTTTTGGACATGCAGGGGCATGTTTGGTAAAACTTGGGGAATACACACGTTGTACATTTGGTATATACTGAGGTTATGAGACCCATAATTACTTATGGTGTCACAGTATGGTGCAAAGGTTGGTTTGCTTAGGTATAACAGGAGCATTTCGAACATCTCCAACAGCTGCACTGGAGATACTTCTTGGACTCCCCCCATTGCATATACAGTTGGATGCGGAGGCCAAGGCAGGAATTTACCGTCTCCAGTGCAGTGGACAATGGAAACCTAGATCTGATGGTTTCGGTCATGCAGACATGGCTCAGGACATGAAAAAAGAACCCATATTACAAATGGGGTCTGATAACATGATACTGAGACATGTATATGAAAAACCCTTCACAGTCAGATTTCCTGACAGGAGTGAATGGGAAGACGGGTTTCAGCCCGACATAAAAGGGGGGACTGATCTGGTATACAGATGGTTCCAAGACAAATAAGGGCACTGGAGCTGGTGTGTTCTGCCATGGCACGAGACGGAAACTTAGTTTCCGCCTTGGGTGATACACGACAGTATTCCAGGCAGAAGTATATGCCATTAAAGCATGTATTATGAAGAATTTAGATAGGAACTATAGAAATAGGAACATCTACATTCTATCTGACAGCCAAGCTGCACTTAAAGCACTTGACAAACACCAGATCAATTCAAAATTGGTCTGGGATTGCCACCAAACCCTCATGGAACTGGCCAAACATAACAGGGTACAACTGATATGGGTGCCAGGGCATGAGGGTATTGCTGGTAATGAAGCAGCAGACCAATTAGCTAAAATTGGAGCTGAACACCCGTTCATAGGACCTGAACCAGCCTGTGGCATCTCTCTAGGAGATGCCAAACAGGCAATCAGGGACTGGACTAACATGAAACACAAGGAATACTGGGAATCCTTAACTGGACTCAGGCAAGCTAAGGGACTCATACGAGGACCTTCAGCTAAAAGAGCGAAGGAACTGTTGAAGCTCAACAGGAACCAGCTACGATGGGTGGTAGGACTACTTAAAGACACTGTCACCTCAAAGGACACCTGTCCAAACTGGGACTGAGTGATAGTCCCACCTGTGAGAGGTGTCAGCTAGAAGATGAAACAGCCACACACGTCCTGTGTGAATGTGAGGCATTGGCTTATTTAAGATTACGTGACTTGGGCCAGTACTTCATGGAACCAAGTGACTATTTTGACGTCCCCACATCCAAGATCCTGCGCTTCATCCAAAGCGTCGGGTTGCTGATGGAATAATTAAAAAAGGGGAAGCACAATAGACCTGAGGTCACGGTGCAAGGGCCGAGAAGGCCTACCCCTCATATATTCTATTCTATTCTTCTATTCTATTTTCTGCACTTCCAGCTGTAAGTAATGTTTGAAATTATAGTAAATGTGACTGTCCAGATGTATGTATCCCTCCTGTCTTGACAAAGGAACATGAATGCATGGCAAAGGCATGAGATTTTGAGCTCTAATGCATTACTACATACAAGAATTTTAGACTCTGCCTTTCAGAATTCAACACTGCAAGTTCTATTCCATAGGGCTTCACGGTAAATTCTGTAAGGCTTCCAGAACACGGCCACAATTTTTGCAACAAGATGATACAGGGTTCTGAAAAACACTTACTAGTCTCACCAATATGGAAGTAATAAGAATGTGTGTATCTTTCAACATACAAGAGATTGACAAGTTTTATACTTCATAGGTCAGATAAAAAGTAGTGGCAACACCTCTATAGTTCTGAAATGACTATTACCTGAGGTAAACACACATTCCCTCAATATAATCACCCCTCACATGTACCACCTTCTGCCAAATTTGTGGAAGGTGGCGTCCACCATCAGCTCGCCCACTTCTGTTAACGTCCAGCAGTGAGCACACTAGAGGACAAATAATCTCCTCTCATGTGTTGTAACGTGTCCCTCGCAGTGATTCTTTCATTTTGGCATAGACATCATAATCGCGCGGACTCGTATCAGGTGAGTATGGCGGATGGTGCAGTATCTCCCATCGCCAGCAGCGATGGAGATCCTTCACAGCGTCAGCAGTATGAGCCCTTGCATTGTCATAAAGGATGATGGGGTTCACTGCCAACAAGTGTCATCGCTTTCTCCTGAGTGCTGGACGAAGATGATCATGCAGAAATTGCAGCGGTAGGCAGCACTTACTGTATCACGGAGGCACAGCGTGGTGCAATATCACTCCAGCAATGTCATATGCCACAATGAACATCACCTTCACATTACTCTGTGGAGGGCGCACTTTCTTTGGATGAGGAGAGCCAGGATGTTTCCATTCATTTTACTGTCGCTTCAAGTGCGGTTCGTATGAGTGAGCCCAAGTTTTGTTCAGAGTGACGATCCTTCCAAGGAAGTCATCACCTTCTTTCTGGTACCAGTCCAACAAGTCCTGTGCAATTGCATAACGTTGCCATTGTTGCACCTCGGACATTGTATGGGGTACCCAATGCGCTGCAATTTTGTGGTATCCAAGAATATGATGCAGAATGTGGAGCACAGTTTTGTGACACACGCCTACCTCAGCAGCTAACTCCCACGCAGTCCATCAACGACTGACATCCAGCAAAGAAGTATGAAGCTGAATTATGTGGTTGTCAACGTGGGGTCGTCCTGAACGACGGCTGTCCTGAATGGCATCCCTTCCTTCATGAAACAATTTCACCCATCGTGCCACTGACCGATATGGTAAAGCAGCATCTCCACACGCTTCTCACAGTCCCTGATAACAGTTTTGTGCACTACGACCTCGTGCAACTTCAATTTTTATCCAGGAGCGCTGCTCTTGTTTCGTAAACATGTTGTTAGGGTGCTTGAACTGGGATCCTGCACGTCAAGACGATGCACAATGGAACTCAATGAAACACAACCAGAGCCACTCACTGCACTACTTCAACTGAACTTCTGCCATCAGCTACAGATGGCGCTAGTGCCACCTGACGCACATCTTTCATGTTACAGCAGTGTTGCCACTACTTTTTATCCAACCCTTGTATTTATAATATCCCAAGACTCATTCACATACCAAGTTAGTAATGAAATTCCTAAGCCAAATTTTGTTAAAGCCTGTTTTCTATTTTCGAGAAAAACATACGAGGGTTGGAACTCTAATAGTGGCAACTATTTTTTTACAACTGATACAAAACAGATGCATGTTTCGAAGTTTTACTGTCCTTCAATGTAGTCACCAGCATTGTGTACAACCCGTTGCCAGTGATATAGAAGTTGTAGGATACCTTTAGCAGCGCCCGTTGTGTTGACAGTTCGAATGGAGCAGTCTACTGCTTGAAGAATCTCTGGAACAGTTTTGAAGCGAATGCCACGAAGTGGTTCCTTCATATTAGGAATCAAGTCAGTCACAAGGGCTTAAGTCTGGGGAGTATGGTGGATGGTACAGCACTTCCCAGCCCCATCGATCGAACAAATCAGCCACAGCTTGCGCTGCATGCGGTCGAGCATTGTCCTTCAAAATGATGGGTGGGTTCTGCAGAAAGTGTCGCCGCTTCTTTCTCAAAGCTGGTCGCAGGTTGTGTTCCAAAAATGAACAGTAACACTGCGCATTGATGATCTGCTGTCGGGGAACAGTATGCATTAGGATAACACCATCACAGTCATACACGAGAATCACCATAACTTTCACATTGCTGGGGTTCTGACGAACTTTTGATTTTTGTGTTGACCCATAACGACGCCATTCGTTCGATTGGCGTTTCATTTGTGGCTTGTACAATTTGGCCCATGTCTCATCCACCATAATGATACAGCCTAAGAAAGCCTCTCCTTCGTGCTCATAGCAGTGTCGTATCGTAGCCATTTCTGTATTTCTGTCAAATCATGTGGAACCCATCGTGGTGCAATTTTTCTCATGCCCAGGCATTCCTTCAGAATGTGAAGTATAGTCGTATGTGCTAATTTTGTCTCTTGGGCCATGAATCGTATGGCGTCGATTACTCTCCAGTAACGCGGAAAGAGCATACACTTCTTCTTCATTGACACTAGGACGACCTGGCCAATGCATGTCTGCCACATTTTGGCATCCCTCGTTGAAAGCTTCTACCCACCTTGCCACTGTTCTGTAAGGCAATACAGATTCCCCACAAGCCTATTGNCGTATGTGCTAATTTTGTCTCTTGGGCCATGAATCGTATGGCGTCGATTACTCTCCAGTAACGCGGAAAGAGCATACACTTCTTCTTCATTGACACTAGGACGACCTGGCCAATGCATGTCTGCCACATTTTGGCATCCCTCGTTGAAAGCTTCTACCCACCTTGCCACTGTTCTGTAAGGCAATACAGATTCCCCACAAGCCTATTGAAGACACTGATAACACTGTCGTGCTGTACGGCCTCTGGCACATTCAATCTTTATCCATCTCCGTTGCTCCTGTTTCAAAAACATCGTGACAAAACTACATTAGACCGCCAGCTAACACGAGGCTCTGTTCTTCTCGTCACAGCGCATGCACGTGATGTGGGAAGGGAGAGTCCATTTGCTCTGAGGTGAGGTAGGTATGTAACTAACGTGTGGTATAAGCGACATCATTTCGTTCCATTGCAAGGCATCTCTACAGCGGTGTTGCCACAATTAAAGTTCCAACCCTCGTATTTAAAAAAACGACTTTTCAGAATACAAACTGTTGAACTCCCAGAAATTCAATGATGCACTGATACCCCCAAAACTCAAAATTTCACACATTTCCCATACTGTAACTGCTTGAATGACACTAAAAATACCATCACTTTACGGAAAATGGGAACACGTCATACTGTAGCATGTAGACCCATCGCTAGGTGATGGCCTGTTCATATGCAACAGAAGCATATGTCACTTCAACAGTGACATCAAGCAACAACAGAAGAGATGTTGAAAGCAGTGTTCTCTGTGGGTTTGCTCCAAGACCACATGACTCACCCACATCCAGTTCAGTTAGTGAGTGGAGTGCAGTTGAGTACAGTGGAGTGAAGCAAGTTGATTTGTGAGCAGTAAATCAAAGGGCTGCTGCTGTTAGACGCTGGTAGCTAAGGCATGGGCACAATTTGAAAACCCAGAGTAAGGAGAATGTGTGCCACTGGAAGCTGTTACTAGGCAATGACTGAAGACACAGCAGATTGAAAATACCTAGTGCGTGCTGTAGTGAATTGCAGAGTGTGCAAATCAGCAACAGCACTAGAGTTACTTGTTACGATCAGTAAGTGTTCAATAAATCCGTTACCAATCCAAACCCCATCACCTACACGTGAAAATATAAAAATGGAAAATTCAGTCTTAGTCCATTAATAAATAAGATGCTCAAACCACACATTAACTTCAGGCAGAAAAAGGAGAGATGATGGTGCAATCCTGCAGAATACATAAACCAACCAACAGTGGTTATCCATCACAACATCCACTAGTGACAAAGACAGTCTCCAAATCACTAGACTCTGCTGCAAACTGATGTGGCTGACCATCCTATGTTGCATTTTTACAAAGTGTCATAGTTAAGCCACGCTATCACAGGTTTTGTGCAAGATGTGCTCTGAAAACACTCACAGCTGCACACAAAATGCAGAGAATGGCTTTGGGTTTAGTAGGCATTTTAGAGCAATACCACAAAGTTGGCAATGTGTTTCTCAAGAACATCACATGAGTAACAGGTCACAAAACCTGGGTTTCATTTGTCAGTGCTGAAACCAAAGAGTAGTCAAAGCAGTGAATGCAAACACATTCACCAAACAAGCCTAAAAAGTTTAAAGGTCTGCCTGTGAGAAAGCAGATGGCAGCTGTTTTGGGGGGGTAGGAAAGGAGTGCTAATGGAGGAATTCATGCAAAAAAGCATCACAATTATGTCATAATTTTATTGTGAAACACTAAAAAAATTTGTAGGGCCATTCAGAACAAAAGGTGTGGAATGCTAACTTCTAGCGTACTTGCAGTGCTCCTCCATGACAATGCACGTCCATGTATAGATGCTTGCACTAGAGCACTGCTGGAACATTTCAACTGGGAGTTGTTTGATCACCCTTCTTACAGCCCTTACCTCACTCCAAGTGACTACCAGCTATTTACCTACCTGAAGAACTGGTTGATGTCATAGCGCTTCAACAATAATGAGCTGGTGGAAGGTGTCAAAATGTGTCTACATTTACATTTACATTTACACTTACACACAAACAGCATACTTCTTCAACACGTGCATAAAAAAACTTATACCCTGATGACAAGTAATCAATTCGGGCAGTTACTACATTGACAAGTAGCTTAAGCATGTATCTATTTTTCGTACATAATAATTCTTTTCTCAATGCTTGTTTCCTTAACAGCTCACTAGAGGTTACTTTCGAAATGGCCCTCATACGAGTATACTACATATCTAGATGAACACATGTTACAAACCAAAATTTTGTATGGTTAATGTTAAATTCCATTAAATTACATTTAATCTTTCACAACAATATATTTCCTTACCGGACTAACAAGCATCTTGGAGCAATAAAAACATACACATCGTAAGATTTTAATCGTCTTTGTAATAAAACCAACATGGAAAACAGGTTTAGCCAGATCTATATGTCCAAAGTGCCCAGGACATTCAGTCTGGTTACCTGCAAAGAGAAATGATATTAAATAAAGCATTTCATCTTACATTAGAAAATGTGTGCATTTCAAATAATCTGCACTACCAGTCAGTTTAGCAATGGTATAGTCTGACTTGCCATCACACAATACATTGTAAACAAGAATAGTTATGACTGATAGCGGAATAACAGAATAAAAACAGCAATCAGAACAAGGAATGAAACATGCTGAATGTGAAGGGCTCTGTCATCTGGGATATATAACCATATAGTCCTAAGAAAATCAAACAATGTTTCAGAGAAACATGTCACCTCCATCTTCAGTGTTCAGGAGCAAACCAAACAACAAACCAACATGAAGCAGACTGCAAGCTAAGCTTACTTCACACTGGTTTCTTGCTCGATTTTCTCTTCAACCATGAAAATTAATGTGACATGTTCCTCAAAACCGTTGCATGATGTTCAACAGATTACACATGGCATTACATCCCAGAATATAAAACTCTTCATAACCACCACTCTGGGAAACCTCAAATTTTACATGATGTTATTCAAAAGCAAAAGTGATGAAAGCAAAGAATAAATGTTAAAAATATTAAAAAGAGGAACCAAAAACTGATAAAATAGGCCCAAAACAATACTGGAATAAATATGCCAAATACTTATGTTTGTGATCACAAAGAAACTACAAATATATTCATAAATATGGAAAGTTTACTATTTTAGCAAAGTAACCAGAACATAATAACAAGTACGAGTACAAATGCAACTGAACAAAAAAAATGCAACATATGTATCTGGACATAAATATCACACTGCAGAAACAAAGAATAAGAAAGTCCCATATGGTGAGACATCAGACAAGCTATAACAGAAATATCAACGGAAACAGAATGGATGTATAGACGAGGAAGCTCTCACAATCAAATGAGATACAAGATTGCTGGAAGAAGGGAGTGACAGTACTAATATATATAAAGGAGACAAGCACCTTAATCATAATTAGAGGAATAACTTTTTAATTACTGTTAAGTATCTTTTTGAAGAATTTTAACCTAAAAAATTACATGAGCAATACTCAGTAAGAAGCAACATCAATTTTGCTGGGAAAGATCCACGACAAATTTGACCTTTATAATCAGACAATTATTTCAGATACAAGATTTTGAAAAAGCATGAACACACAATAAAAGATGAAAAAATGTAAACCCAACAAATGTGATAGACACAGTCCTTGTCATTAAACACAACTGTCTTAAGGTATATAAAGCCAAAGGATTAAGACAAAGACTCAAACCACTTTGGAAGGCCCTTTTCACGAAACAAGTTGCATTTTCACACAATTCACACTCACGGTTGGGGGACAATCAGACAATGAAGACATGGTTTGCATATGCAGAAACTTCAAACTGTAGTAGGATGGTTATGATTTAGTTCTTACCAGCGCAAGTTTGGCAACGAGAATTCCTATCCATAACACCTTGCCGAGGGTCCATAAGACCTTGAAGTTTTGGTCTTCCACCTTCATATGTTTCAGGGAAACGAATGCCTCCCTCTGTTACTGACATACGGCGCTGAGAAAGAAAGAGCAAAGTGTCCACTGTGTTGATAAATATAAAAATCCTATACACTGAATCCACTTTCACACAGGCCAGCCATGTAAGCCATAGTATGGGATAACCTCATGATGGCGATTGTTCCAACACAAGTAATGGTACCCATTTTATTTCTTCTTCACAAAAACATTTGTGTGTGTGTGTACGTGTGAATTTTTAAAAACGGAAGCAGTGTTTGAATACCAGTAGGGTCACAAATTCACCAAATCATTCAAACTGGCTCTGGGGCCCGCCCAGCCTCCTATCCAGTGATAAATCCATATTCTGTTATCCTAGATTATCATGGAAGCTTATGTGTTTCAGAAATGTAGGTTTCAATGTTGCCCCTTGTTGATGTTTGTGTAGTTGCACGGACTGATAATCTTGGATAACAGTGAGAAGTGGAAGAAATAACCACATTTTATACCATATAATAGCATATATGATCTATGTGACAAGCGAGAAATAACATGACCCCACCCCACTTTTCAGCATACACACATCAGTTGAAGCTTGCACATGACCAAGCACAGCATTTAACCTGTGTTATATAAACAACATAAATTAATTTTTATGCCATTTATATTTTTAATATTTCTATTTTTATATTTTCATTTTATATTTTCTTTATGTTTTTAATCATATCATAATATGAACTGTATAATAAATTGTAGATATATACCTAATATATAAACATAAATTCACTAGCAACGCAGCCATCAGTTGCGAGAATACGGATCCTTATAATCAATTTTAATCACTTGAGTTATGTTCATGAGTGCCTGATGATGACCTAATTATGGTCAAAACGTGTAGCACGGTTACGTTTATATCAAACACATAAGACATTTGCCAACACCTACTGTCTTTATTGAAGATATTCTCATATTACTTGTTGTGTTAATGGTCATAATATACGAAATTAAATATTACATACACAACAGGATGCAGTCTATAAAGTTTATAAACTGAACACAGCTTATGCAGTAAAAATTTATATGTGGCTTCCATGGAACTTGACTGTCCAGTTGTAGGCCTAAAAAATTTATAAGATTTATTATGACAGGCATACTTTCACCAGAGACTATCCGTAATGAAGAATTCTAAAGATCTGCAGGGGTAAATTTCGTTAATTAGTCTTTTCCATGTTCAATATCAGATGATTGTCCTGGGAAAAAAATGGGGGTGAGGGGCGACATAGAAGGCAAGGTGATCTCATAATATGCAAAAGAAGTTCTGGAGTGTATTAACTGACTACCGTCCTTCGATATGACATGGACCTGACAGAAAATAAAAGAATTAGGGGAGATACACATACATTCATTCATTCATTAATGTTTATTCATCCTGTAGATCAGATTACATTGATATAGGACATGTCACATAATATAAATTATAAAATTAACAAAATACAATAAATTCTAAACCAATAAACACACAAGATATGTAATGATTATTTACATCTAGCATGTATCATAATCTAATATATCATAGTTTATCCATACATTCATATATTCAATATTTACTATCCACAGATCGGACCACACAGGTGTAGAACATATCAGGAGAGATATCAGACAGGAAATTGTTGTGAATTGTAAATTTTTCACTCATATCATAGTATAGAAATTAAAGATACACGACGCAGTAAAATTAGCTCGTTTATACGTTTACAATTTTTTGGTAACATTCATAACGCAACATCAGGTAAATTTTCAAATAAAAATCTGGCCTTCCCCCTAGGCTATTACTATCAACCAGGGCATCGATGACAAACGTAGGTGTTATCAAAAGATTCAAGCTCATTATTGAACATATTTACCACTTATTTTTACTTAAAAATATTATAAAATGTATACTACACATTATAAATATACTCACAATTTCATCTGGAGCCAATATTCCAAATTGCACCCGCTTAACAGTACGAAGCGGGGCTTTGGAATCTAAAAACGCCATCTTGCACACAACTACTGCCGTTCACAGGAATTCACTGAGTTTACTGCTCTGCCAGCGTCTGCCAGTGCCCGTCTTCCCTCTTTCCCTCTCACTTTTACACCGTGTTTACAGGATCAACAACATAAATATCCGTCTCGACGGTCTCGGCTATGTGATATTGCTATATAACTGACCCAAACTGTAATATAACCACAAAAGTTATTAATGTTATATATATTAATGACCTGTGAAATTGATTTACAATTTGGAAAAAAAAAATTCAACAAGGCAGGAATCAAGTGATTTGGGCTGACAGCTATACGAGCTGTACTATGGTGGTAGCACTGGGAGAAATTATCAAATGTTGTATCTGAAATGTGAGAGAATGTTAATTTACCATTAAATAAATAAATATTTGTGTTGTAATAATACAATATGATATGTAATATCAGATAATTGACTTCATGTACACCAATAAAGAAGCAACAGAACATCAATGTGACCAAGCTCAGGAAGCAATCGGACATAAAATCAGCTGACTAGCAATGCTAAATGAGTGTAACGAAATCACAGGAAATTGTCAACATACGATGACAGACCACGAAGAGTCATTTTTGAAGGATTTCTTTACCCATGTTGCAAGTTTGAGTTTCGATAAAGCGAAAGAACTCGTGGTAAGTGATTTTTCTATGCGATAAAATGACAGTTATTGTAGTATTCCACATTACGCTCTAATTCAACGAGCCCTTCTTGAGTAGCTGATGGTCTGTCGTCTCTTAATTTATCTGCCTTTTATAGAACCCGAAGATTAATTATCATGTTCTCAAGATCGCACAAATATATTCTATCTGAACCACAGGAATTTAGGCCACATCGTCCCACTTTACTTATTTAAGATCCATTTTAATATTGTAACGTGTATCGTTACTGAAGACGCCGTTCGGATTGTTAATTGGTTAATTTAACAACCTACCAGTATCGGCTACAATTAATTACAACAATGTTGCGGGTTTACACACTTTACAAACCCTACACACAAACCTCTTCACACTCCCGATTCACTCGCTACCAATAAACTCGGTGACTACTACAATTCAGTTCACTTCGTGGGCTGCTACACTTTAACTCGTAACTCGTAACTGCTGCCTTGAGAACTGTCTTCGGCGGCTGTGTATTTCCCTTATAAACCTTCAGCCGGACAACGGGAAAACAGTTACGTAATGGGCAACACTGTTGTCTGTTGCCCATGTCACAGCTGCGTTGCGTGTCTCGTCACAGTAGGAAGCGGTGCCACATAGCCCGGGGGGGGGGGATACGTCAAAATAGAAATTATGATAATTCTTATTATGTAGTATTACCTATGTGGGATGTTATATAAAGAAACAACCGCTTGTTGAATTGTTCCGTAAATATTTATTATAGTTGTACTATAACTCTGAACTAGAACTGTAAACTTCAAAGTCAAAGTCACATTGCGACTGACTCACTCAATGTTTATTCTTATATAACCTAGAGTCGGACATATAGAAAACATGTCACTGTCCGTATTGTTGCAGGCTTTGCCTAGCACCGGCTGTTTACTCAGCCGTTGTTAGGTAGGGAATGGTTTCTAGCTTGCGATTGGCTGTGGGTGCTTCCCATAGTAACATTGTTGTAGACCTTACATAGCAACAACTGTTTACTCGCCGTTGCTAAGCAATGGTACCTGAGCTGCCACTGTGTTTATTTATATAGATTGGAGGGGGTGGGTTTCCCCATGCACCGCGACTAATAGTCTATTGTACGTCCCCCTTTGATATTCTACCAGTCGCCATACCCTACCGGTACTGGTGCTCGCCAACAGCCCCGTTCAGCCAGCGAAGCTGGCAGTCGTTCCCGATACTTCCCCATCTGCCGGAGGCATTGGAAACTACTTGGGCGGGAAACTTTGCCTAATTTTGCTCAGAGGTCTCCTAGAGACATGAGGATCTTTTACGTGCCGTAAATCTACGACACGGGACCCACGGCTTAAAGTCCCTCCCGGAGGACTTGTTCCCTGAATTTTTCCGCCCTTAAAAATTCCACGACCTCCGCCGGGTTTGAACCCGCCTACCTTGAGTCATGAGGTGGGAACGTTACCCCTAGACTGCGGAGGCCGGTAGCTGTCACTGTAACGTTTGCTTGAATGTGGGCAGTTGCCACATCACCCCCCCCGCGGAGGTAGTTGCTCAGCTGTTGAAGCGAGCAGGAAAGCGTACGTGGCGTCCGGAGCGTGTAGTTCGTGGTGGCGCGGCATGCGGAGCCGCCGCTGGGGGTTGCATCGGCTGCAGGGTTGAAGGTCTTGGTGGTGGTCCCGTGGCCAGTCTCTTTCAGCATGTAGGCAGGTTTGACCCTATCGGTTGACACGGTGACATGAGGATTTGCATTGTCTTCTCCTTCCGTGACAGGGCCGCTGTATGGGGACTTCAACGCTCTGCGTGTCGTGTCCTGCCGGAAGAAAACGTGTGTGCGCTTCTCGAGGTCACTGTGCACGAATGTAGCCGGGGAGGCATGGCGTGTTGCCGAAATCGGTCTGAGGCGGGCAATATGTTGACGGAGCTCGGTGATGAGGTGCGCTGGATCCACTGGATCATCAGTCTGAGTTAGCAGCTCACCTGGTATTCTTAGTGGCTCGCCGTACACAAGCTCAGCTACTGATGCCTGCAGGTCCTCTTTGAATGCCGGGCAGATTCCGAGGAGAACCAGGGGAAGGTCTTCTGTTGTCCAGTGTTGGTAGTGTGGCACATGATGGGTGGTGGGCTATTGTTGGCCAGGGAGTGGAAGAGTTGAGATTCAAACTGACGTCCCTGGTCGGTGGTGATGGTCTGCAGGCAACCAAAGCAGGATATCCAGCCGGTCAGTAGGGTGCATGCCACTGTATCGGCTGTGATGTCCAGGATGGGGATAGCTTCTGGCCAGCGGGTGAAACAGTCGACTGCATTGAGGCAGTATTTTCAGCCTCCTGGCATCGGAAGGGGTCCCACAAGGTCTGTGTGGACGTGAAGAAATCTGGCTGCCTGCAGTGTAAAGTGGCCCAATGGAGTGACTGTGTGGCGTGAGACTTTGGAGCTTTGGCAGGACCCGGCAAGTCCTTGGCCAGGTGCGGCAATCCCTCTGCATGCCCAGACACACAAAACGCTGTGTGACCAGTTCTGCCATTGCTATGGTGCCTGGGTGTGACAGATCATGGACGGACTGGAACACTTGGGGCCGTAGAGGAGTTGGAATGTATGGCCGAGGTATCGCAGTAGATGGACACCGTGGTACTGGGGATAGGTAGATTCTCAAGCTGCAAAGCTGTGTTTGACTGCCGAAGTGATTGGAGCTCCATGATTTATTTAATCCGTCTTGCAGTGCATACACTCATTTATCTCCTTCTCTCCCTCGCACTACATGTTTCGGCATAATAATGCCATCTTCAGGTGCTTACTTATCCACGTCAAACCAGTTCATTGCATGCCATGTTCACACATTAAAATAACTAAAATATGTATCTATCATATACATTGTCAAACGTTAAAAATATTAAAATTGTTCAGGATACCACATCGCTACGTCGCCCCTCACTACGTCACTACAACACACACACATACCCAGGAAGCCCAACAGTATAACACACTGAGTCGCAGGAGCACGACACAACAAAAGCACAACACACAAGATAGTGAAGGAGTGCTCCAACAAAGGAGAATGGGCGTGACTGACGTAGTGAGGGGCGACGTAGCGATGTGGTATCCTGAACAATTTTAATATTTTTAACGTTTGACAATGTATATGATAGATACATATTTTAGTTATTTTAATGTGTGAACATGGCATGCAATGAACTGGTTTGACATGGATAAGTAAGCACCTGAAGATGTTATTATGCCGAAACATGTAGTGCGAGGGAGAGAAGGAGATAAATGAGTGTATGCACTGCAAGACGGATTAAATAAATCATGGACTTAAATCAGTGCAACAGGACGCTAAAATACAACATTAGTGATTGGAGCTCATCATCACTGTCCTCTGATGCGGCCAATGTATCAGGATGGTGGCACAGTGACAGACTGGACGTGGCAGAGAGTATCGGCAACAATGCTATCCTATCCACAGATGTACTGGATGGCAGTCATGAATTGTGCTATGAAATCCAGGTGGTTGAATTGCCTTGGTGAGTATTTGTCCCATTTGTGCTGGAAGGCTTAGATGATAGGTTTGTGGTCTGTGAAGATGCTGAAGTGGCGCGCTTCCAGCAGTGGCGGAAATGCTTTACAGCCTCATAGATGACCAGCAGTCTGTGGTTGTATTCACTGTATTTTTGCTGGGCCAGGTTTTGTTTATTTGAGAAGAATACCAGGGGCTGCCAGGTGTTCTAGACACGTTGCTGTAGCACGGCACCCATGGCAGACGTGGAGGCATCTGTGACGAGTGCAAGTGGTGCGGATGTATCGGGGTGAGCCAGTAGTGTAGCGCATGATAAACTCGCCTTGCACTCTTCGAAGGCCTTGTGGAGCTCTGGTGTCCAACTGATGGGGTGGGAGCCCCTTGACTTTAGGTTCGGAGAGGACGTCGTGAAGTGGAGCCTGGTGTGCTGCTGCGTTGGGCACAAATTGCCTATAGTAGTTCAGTATGCCCAGGAAATGGTGGATCTGCCTAGCGGTTTTGGAAGGTTGACATTCCTGAAGGAGAGTCATTCGTTCTTCCAGCGGTTGGGAGCCCTCAACGGACACCTTATAAACGAGGAAGGTGATCTCAGGTACTCGGAAGACACACTTCACTGGGTTGATGAGGATCCCATACTTCTGAAGTCATTCGAAGAAGGCCCGTAAGTGTAGCTCATGTTCCTCAAAATTTAACTCTGGTTATGATGCGTCTATTCTATTTCTCACTGTAGCAAAAGAGATTTTTTCAGAGACATTCAGAACGTAAATAGTAATTATTTGAATGCAATGTATTGTCACGTGTTGGGTAGGTCACACGCGACAAATAACTTCACACCGTCTTGGATGTGGCGAATTTATTCCACTCGCTCTCACAGTTACACAACTACTGCCATCGGCAGTATCACAATTACATCCACTACACTTGGCGACTTCACGATCCGCACTGTGTCACTACTCATCACACACTCTCTGGTCACATACTTTTATACCGTTCCCTGTTTCTTCGTGTTACCAGCGATGTCCACTGTTACGTCACAGTGGCAAATGCTGTTATGTCACCGCTGGCAGGGAGGGGGTGTCCTGCATAGCGCAAATATGTCACACTGGTCCCTCCTTAAGGCTGTTCGTTCCAAATAGCCTAACGGTATATCCCTGTTCCTTTTCGCCCAAGGATGTGCTTGCTGCATCTCCTGTTATTTCAGCTACTCCTCTTGCAGCGACTATTCTCCGGCCATTACATCCTCTGCTCCCTTCTTAGGATTGTTCATCTTGAGCAATTCCATGGTCCACATTAATTCTGTCTTCTTTCATTCTCGCTGGAGAGGTTGGTACTTACACATTACTGGTTCCTCCTGTATTCCTTGTTTCCTTTTCCGTTTCGGAGGGGGTCGACCCCTCCACAAGGTCCAATTCTTGTTTTGTCATAATCCTGCAGAAGATCCGGCTATTTGCTTCGCTGTCTTCCTGTCAACAATCTCGTAGAAGATCATTTTCCAAGTTCCTCTCCT